AGACATCCCAAGTAAAGAGAATATTCTCTGCACACAGAAGACTCAGTAAATATTTGTTGAATTATATAAATTTGATAAAAGGTAAAAGTCAGCCAATTCACTGAGAAAAATAAGAAATATCTCTATAGCCACAGAGTTCATACTCTTATGTATAGCTAATAATCATAAGATAATAATTGCTAACATTTATTGAACGCATATACTGTGGAATCAGAAAGATTTTCTTAGTGTTTTTTAGTAACTATCCTGTTACTCTTCAGAACAATCTTATGGGAATTTTTTTTAAGAATTGAAAATCTAGGGCACCTGGGTGGCTCAGTCGTTAAGCGTCTGCCTTCGGCTCAGGTCATGATCCCAGGGTCCTGGGATCGAGTCCCACTTCGGGCTCCCTGCTCTGCGGGAAGCCTGCTTCTCCCTCTCCCACTCCCCCTGCTTGTGTTCCTGCTCTCACTGTGTCTCTGTCAAATAAATAAATAAAATCTTAAAAAAAAAAAAGAATTGAAAATCTAATTATAAAATTTACTTGGAAATTTAAGCAATGGACCTAGAATAGCTAAAACAGTTTTGAAAAAGAAGAAGAAAGTTGAAAGAATTTTACTATTGGATTCAAAGCTCAATGTAAAGTTATAGTAACCAAGACAGCCCGTTATTGTCGTAAAGATAGACATATAAGTCAGTGGCGGTAGTACAGAATCTAGAAGTAGACCCAAATGTATATGGTTAATTGATTCTTGACAAAAATTGCCAAGGTGTGACAAAATTGCCAGGGTGTGCCAGAATTTGCCAAGGAGTGAGAAAAAGGACAATCTTTTCAACAAATGATGCTGGAACAGATACCCATATGCAATATTATTAACTATGACCATATCATGTTCAGAAATTAAATAGAAATCGATCAGAGATCTAAGCATAAGAGCTAAAATTATATGACTTATAGAAAAAACAGGATAAAACCTTTGTAACCTTGGGTTATGAATAGATTTCTCAGGATACAAAAACATGAATCATAAAAGAAAAAGGTAAATTGGGCTTTGTGAAAATTCAAAATATTGCTAAGAAAATGAAAAGATAGGCTATAGATTCGGAGAAGGTATTTTCACCACACTGAGAAAGTGTATGTAGAACATTTTAAGAATGCTCTTAGAACTCAATGATTTGAAAATAACCCGGTGAAAATGGGCAAAAGATTTTAACACTTAACCAAAGGAGAGATGCAGATAGCATGTAAGTACGTGTAAAGATTTTCAGTGTCATTACTAATTAGGGAAATGCAATTTAAAACAATAATGAAATACCATTACATGCATATTGGAACAGCTAAAAAATGAAAATTGACAATGCCAGATGCTGACAAGGATGTTATGTAAGTGGAACTCTTAAACGTTTGGGAATACAAAATGGTACAGCCACTTTGGGAAGCAGTTTGGGAGATACTTAAGAAGTTAAACATCTACTTATCATACAGCTCAGTAATTCTTGGGTGTTTATGCAAGAGAAATGAAAACGTAATGGTACAAAATTAGAAATAAATGTTCATTCATTAGTGTATGGAGAAATAAAATGAGGTATGTATCCATGCATTGGAATACTGCTCAGCAATAAAAAGGAATAAACTACAGATGCAACAACACGGATGAATTCCAAAGCTCTATGCTGAGTGAAGGAAACTGGTCACAAAAGGCTCTATACTGTATGATTCCATGTATGTGAAATTCTAGACAAGACCAAACTATCTTGATAGAAAGCACATGAGTGCTTGAGTGGGGCTAGGGTGTGGAGGACTAGAGGCTGACTTTGTACAAGAACATGTGGGGTGATGGAAATGTTTAACATTGTGATTATGGTAGTGGTCATATGTCTGTATACATTTACCAAAATTCATTTAATTCTGTACTTAAAATTGGTGAATTTTATTGTATGTAAGTTGTATCTCAGTAAAGCTGATTTAAAAAACAAACTGAAGCAAAAAACCTAACTGACACACAGAAGGGTAAAGATAAAAAGATAGGAGAAGGTGGTGGCTGTGGCCACCGGGGACTTACCCTGTTTTCCAGGGTCTCTCTCATGGATACACGTTATTAAACTTTGTTTGATTTTTTTCCTGCTTTAAAAAAAAAAAAAGGATAAAAGGATGAGGAAAGATGTAATAGAACATGAACAAATATATTTGGAACACTTCAAAATTCAGCCATAACCTAATCCTTGAAATATTAAAGTCCATAAAATAGACGTTTTTTAACTGTAGTACCACAAAACTACAAATAACAAATATAAAATTTATAAACCGTTTGGAAATTTAAAAATCATCCCATACAGTTGTTAGTGAGAGAAAGGAAATTAGAACTACAAAAAGCAGGATATTTTAAAAAGTAATAAAAACTATACAGTACTGTGGAATGTATGGAATACTACAAAAGATACCTTGGGAATTGTATTTATTGTTGCGGTTTTTAAAAACTAATTGAAGGGGTGCCTGGGTGGCTCAGTCATTAAGCTTCTGCCTTCGGCTCAGGTCATGGCTCAGGTCATGATCCCAGGGTCCTGGGATTGAGCCCCACGTCAGGCTCCCTACTCAGCGGGAGCCTGCTTCTCCCTCTCCTGCCGGCTTGTGCTCTCTCTCCCTATCTCTGTCACTCTCTCTCTCTCTCAAATAAATAAATAAAATCTTTTCTAAAAAAAGTTAATTGAATAAAGCAGAAACATGAAAAACAAATATAAAGTCATAGTATAAAATTAAATGATATTAGTACAAAGGTTGACTGACAGATCAGTGAAAGAGAGTAAATAAAAAACTGAATGTCTTCTGATTAACTGTCCCATGGTTCCATTTTTGACATCTTTTCTTCTAAACCATAATTCTTCTTGGTTATCTTTTTCCAATTATTTCCTTCAGGAGTGTCCTCGAAATTTGTATATATTCCCACTACATTTCTGGTACTCCCTGAGAAAATAAAAAGAAAGATTTGTATGTGCTTCATTTTAACATAATGAAATTTCAGTTATTAGGTATGAGTATATTCATAGCAAGAAGACAAACATAAGTTTCTGAAAAGATTAGCAGTGATTTTCCTTGTGTGAAGCACCCAGAGTTGAGCTTTGGGTCTTCTTTTTCTCTTTAAATATTTTCTGGTTCTTTGTATTTTTAATTTTTTGCTTTCTTACTATTTTAAATTAAACATGTATTGCTTCTAGAAACAAAACATGTGAAAATAAACTTATTTTTTAAGAGAAATTATTTTTATTAGATTTGATTTGGGAAGATGTTTTAGAGGGTATCGCTCCATAATTTATCCTTGAAGAATAGATAGAATTTGGAAATATATTGTAGGTAAGCAAAAGAGTCTTAGAGATGGTAACATGTTGGGTACATATTGGGATACTAATCCTTTCAACATTTCTCCATCATATATTGGACATTTTCTAACTACTTTTAAACATGAGGGTTTTCAAAAATTGAACTTCAGGAGTGCCTGGGTACTTCAGTCATTTAAGTGATTTCGGCTCAGGTCATGATCTCGTGGGTCATGGGATCGAGCCCTGCCTTAGGCTCCTTGTTCAGTAGGGAGTCTGCTTGAGATTCTGTCCCTCTGCCCTTCCCCCCACTCTCACACACACTTGTGCTGTCTCTCTTTTTTTCTCTCTCTCTCTCAAATAAATCTGTTTAAAAAAATTGAACTTCAGTCTTCATTGGTAAGCTCATCCATTTCTGAAAGAATTCTTCATTTTGATACTGGCTTCCATATTTTAGCACTTTGGTTTGTCCCTTGTGTTTCTCAACACATCTTTTAAGCTCTTACTCAAAATTTTAATTTTAATGTCTGCAGTTGTGTTTTTTAAATCCAATATGCTTTTGAATTTCTTTGATATTAATTACACTTTAAGTTCTAATTTTGTTTATGTTTTTAATTCACTTTCCCTCGTTAATTTTTCTGTTTTATTGGATTTGATGGCTTTTCTTTCATTTTGCTACTTTCCTTCAGTTTTTATTCGTTTTTAAATGTCTAGTCATCTTTCTATATGAGAATCTCTCTTCTGCCTGTTGGTTGTTTTCAACATAATCTACTGTCTTTGGTGAGGGTTGTACCTACCGGAAGCATGCTGCCATATTTCTCTATATTCAACTGCTTTATCCTTTGAATGAAAGTCACCATCTAACACAAATGGAGGTGGGAGACAGAGCTGTCCCTCCCAGCTCCTCAATTGGTCATCCTCAGTTTTAGCCCCTCCTTCTCCTTGTGTTACTTGACTCTGGGCTTATGGCTTCTTCAGAATCACCCTTCTCTGGTTCTTTTCCTATGGGCTGTGGTTTTATCTGCTAATTTCTTAATAGATCTAATCCTGCCTATTTTTTATCCTTGGGAAATTTCTCAATATTTATTTTATTGCTAGTAGCATTCCTTTTTGATTTCTAGCCTTTTTTATTAAAAATATCCCATTTAAAATTTTGATTAGAAAAGATATACAGGTGTGTTTAGTCTGTCATTTGACTTAATTTGATAATATTTCATATTTGGCAGCATTTTCAGTAATGTATTTGGATTAATTGTAGGATTATTCTAAACTACAGACTTTTGATTTTAGAATGTAATTATGAAGTTTGTGTTTTCTGTTGGGAAACCTAAAATGCTTTACCTCTGTGGCTCCTTTAGCAATTTCTCAAATATCTTATAATTAAAGTATGGATCATTCTGCCAAAGCGAAAAAGTAACATTTGAGATATGAGCAATTTATTCACTTCTGAAAAGTCATTAAGTATTTTCCCCATGTTAATTATCTCATTTAATCTGAAGTTACTCTCAGAAATTACGAATCTAATGCCAAGAGAATAAACTATGATAGTGCTAATGAGATGGTCTAGAATGGTATCAGTGTGTTCAAGTAAAAGATGAAATAATTTTCCCAATGTTACATTGGGATAAGCACAATCATTATTGTGCTTTATCTTTGTATCATTGAACTGTGCTTGACTGAAACTTTGTTACCGTATCTTCTTTTCCTAGCTTGACACTGTTAGAAGCAATCTTCCGAAAAGTAAAGAAACTAAAAGTGATGATGTAAGTGCTACGAACACTAATAACCCAGTCCCTAAAAGCAAACTAAGGAATCCCCAGTCAACACCTGAAAATACAGATGATGTTAGTGTAAAGGAAGACAAGCAAGGAAAGGCAAGTAAAAAGGTTATGAAAACAGTACTCCAGATGACTGCACAAGGAATGGAACTGGAAACTCCTGTGAGGAAGGTGGATTCCACACATCAGAAAGCACGAACCAGGTCACAGCCAGGTGTTGCTCATCAGAAGAGCGAGAAGGCAGATGAAGAAAGAGAAAATAATAATTTAGATGAGGAAGAAGAACTGATGCAAGCATACCAACTCCAAGTAGCTGAAGAAATGGCAAAGGAGATTAAGAAGAAAATAAGAAAGAAACTCAAAGAACAGTTGACTTACTTTCCCTCAGATACTTCATTGCATGATGGCAAATTGAGCAGTGAGAAAAAAATAAAGAAAAAAAAGAAAGTTCCAATCTCGTCTAAAGCTGAAACAAGGTACTTTGCACTGACAAATGTAAAATGTCCTCTTTTAAAAAACACTAGTATTCTCAGCTTTTGAGTGATATCTGTAGTTACACTAAGAAAATTCTTAATCTTTCATGTGGATACATTGCCAGTAAACAATAACAGTTACCCTTTCCATAACACCTTAGTATGTGCTAAATGCTTTATAAGAATTAACTCATTTATTCCTTGTAACAACCTTATGAGGAATAGTAATACTATCACTCTATTTTGCAGATAAGGAAACTTGAAGGGTTTAAGTCACAGAACCAGTAAGAAGCTGAGCCAAAACCTTAGCAGTCTTGTTCTAAAGTCTCTACCCTTAAATACTTACTTACATCTGCTAATAATAGAAACCCAATTTCTCTCCCTTTTTTGAGTTACAAATGCCTATTTGGATATATGAATATAGTGTTTTTCTTTATTATACAAATAATATTTGCTTATTGTAGAACATACAATAAAGACACAAAGAAGATAAAAGTAACAACCATCTAAAGGTAATCATTATAAGCAATTTAGCATGCTAGTCTTTTTCTATATATGATACTTATATGTTTGCATATGCAATGTGAGTGTTTCTGTGATCATATTTATATTTATATGTCTTCTTTGGGGAAAACAAGATAAAAAATGTCTTTTAACTAATTAACTTTTTTTTCTGCAGTCCACATCTACATAAACAACTTGAGGTGGGTACATTCTATGTTTGATTATTTCCTGGTATCAGGGACAGGTTCCCTTACTGTCCTCATCTAAAAATAATTCACCTCTTACCAAAAGCTAGACACCAGTGGTAACAAAAGGAGGGCAAAAAGAGTTGCTACTCAAACATGTTACTCTACGTATTAACTATCCGTTGCTGCACAAAAAAAGCTATTCTAGAACTTAGCAGAACAACAAACATTTATTGTCTCTCAGTTTCTGTGGATCAAGAATCTGAGCATGGCTTAAGTGGGTACCACTGACTCAGGCTCTCTCTCGGGCTATAGTCAGGATGTCAGCTGGGGATGCAGTCATCTTAAGACTTGGCTGGAGAAGGATCTGCAAATGACAGAGCTGTTGGAAGGCTTGAAATACCCACTTCTAAGCTCACTCATGTGGTTCTTGGCAGGTCTCAGGTCCTGACTGACTTTTGGCCAGAGACATCAGTTCCTTGCCACATGGATCTCTCCATGTGGGCTACTCACAACATGGCCACTTGCTTCCCCAGAGCAAGGGCTCTGAGACAGAGAGAGAGAGAGAGAGAGAGAGAGAGAAAGTCATAGTCTTTATGGAACCTAAACTTGGTTTGGAAGTGGCATCCATTACTTTTGGTCATATTTTGTCTATTAGAAGTGGGTCACTAGGTCCAGCCCACAATCAAGGGAAGGGGCTAGACAAAGATACTAATAGCAGGAGGCAGGGATCATTGAGGGCCATATTAGAGGCTACTTGCTACAGTATACCATCAGTCTTTCTTACAGCTACCATATCTGTTATGAGCTGGTAAGACATACTCTCTATTAAATGTTAGTTCTTGAATTTTAAATAAAACCATGGGTTAGATGACCATGGCATGCAAAAGGTAGTTCTCTTTAAATAATAGTATTTGGTGAAGTGATAAAATAGCATGGCTTTCTGGAATGACTATTTTGAAATATTTCTCTACTCTTTTTATTTCTCAACCTCTTTTTTAAAAAATATGACTATATTGGAAGTCAGTTTATTATTATTTAGATGCAGATTTTTTACTTGATAAATTACAGACTTTAATAGGCTGGTTTCTCTTCTACAATGAGTATAAGTCTAGGCTGCTACCCCTTAACATTTATTAGTTCATGTGATGCACATTTTCATTTTAATAACGGCCTCCTGAAAATGTAGTGGTACACCGGCCACTGGAAAAGACAAGTAATTAACTGTTACCTAGAAATCAAAAGTTGAATATCTGAAGCCTCTTGAAAGCAGAACAAACTTAGAACACTTTTTTTGCTTTTAAATAAGGTAATTTAGAAATTTGTTCATTAATCATTGACTTGACAACAGGATGAGGATGCTTTCATCATTCCTATGGAAAAACAGATCTATTGCTCATAAAATATACAACTTTATCTTTTCTGGGAGTTTAGAGCTGAATTTTAATTTGACTCATGGGTATATAACTCATTAACAAATATAAAATAATACACATTGATACCTAATTTGACACTTCACCATTTTAGTGCATAATAAAATATATGTATTCCCTAGGGGTGCCTGGGTGGCTCAGATGGTTAAGCGTCTGCCTTCAGCTCAGGTTGTGATCCGAGGGTGCTGGGACTGAGCCCCGCATGGGGCTCTCTGCTAAGTGAGGAGCCTGCTTTCCCTCTCCCTCTGCCTGCTGCTTCCCCTGCTTGTACACTCTCTCTCTCTCTGTCAAAAATAAATAAAATCTTTAAAATATATGTATATATATATATATATATTTATGTATGTATATATCCCCTAGCAGGAAGTAATCTTGATTTTAGGATTATCCTTGACTCTGTTCACTGTTCACGTTGCTGCATCATTAAGAAGAAGAATGTATTTGTAATGGCTTGTACTTTGGTTGTATTTGCAGTACACTGACCATCTCCGATGACACAGTTGAAAGTGAACAAAAGAAGGGCTCTCCAGTTAGAAGAGTTACTTCAGATTCTCAACAAGATGATAAGATAAGCTCAGTGGAAGACAATGTAGAAGACAGCATGCAAGATGACACAAAATCCAAACCAAAAAAAAAGAAAAAGAAGGCTAAAACAGGTTTGTTATCCAAATTAAATGAAAAATATGTGCCTTGGTAGAAATAACTTGATTCTAGGACTTTGAGTCCTTAAAACTAAAGAAAATCCAGTCCCAAAGACTATAATTAAAAAAATCCAATATAGAATACAGTTGGTCCTTGAACAGCATGGGTTTGAACTGTGCAGGTCCACTTACAGATTTTTTTTTCGATAAAGTATAGTACTGTAAAGGTATTTTCTTTTCCTTATGACTTCTTTATAGCACTTTCTTTTCTCTGGCTCACTGTATTGTAAGAATATAGTATATAATACATGTAACATGTAAAATATGTGTTAATCTACTCTTTATGTTATCAGTAAGGCTTCTGGTCAACAGTAGGCTATTGGTAAAGTTTTGGGGGAGTCAGAGGTTAAACACAGATTTGCAAATGCCCAGGGGGTTGGTGCCCCAACCCTGGCATTGTTCAAGGGTCAACTGTATGTGGCACTTGTTCTTGGATTCATGTATATTAAAACATTCATTTATTTGTAACTGTGGGTCTCTGTGGTGAGTTAATATTACTTATGTCATCTCTAATTCTTGACTTAATTTAATTGAACCCTAGAATGACATTAACTTTGTTGCTGTTGTGGCACAGATTTCTTCTTTATACCATTGAGTTTAGAACCCCTAAATAATTCAGACTCATATTTATTGAAAGCTATAAATGGTCAATGGCCAATAAACTTTTCAGATGTTAAGGCTGCATCCCTCTGTCACACGTGATTGTCTTCCGACGTCCTCAGCCTAATTCGGCTTCTGTCCTTCCTTCCCACTTTTCCTTCCCACCCTCTTGCTTTCTGTCTTCCTCTTTACTCATTTCTTTCCTCCTCTTATTTTTCTTTACTTGTTATTGCCTTTTTCCTACTTCTTACATTCATTTTTTCCTTTTCAATCTCCATTTAATTGGCCAAAAATTTGGGACCAAAATAGGCAATTTTAGAATTTATGGTAGTTATTCATTGGCTATGCAGTTGATGATGCTTTATTCCTCTTACTACATTTGTAAAACCTTTGTTAAAATATGATATACACATAGAAAGTGTACATGTTACAAGTATACTACTTAGTGGATTTTCACAAACTGAACATGCCTATAAAATCGTCATCCAAATCAAGAAACAACACTTTTAGCGCCAGAAACCCCCTAAGTCCCCTTCCCATTCATTGTTCTTCAGGAGTAAACATCATCTTGACATCTAACACAGTTTGTTTTTGCCCGTTTTTCTACTTTAATGTGAATAGAATCAGAAATCCTGTGCTCTTTCACTCAAAATTATTTTTGTGAGATTTAGACTGTTGCATGTAGCTGAGCTTCTTCATTATCAGTTCTGCTTTTGCACTATATAGATACCCTTGTGTGAATAATTTGCCAATTGTACAGATGGATGTTTGAGCTGTTTCTAGTTTTAGGTGTTTACAAATAAAACTATAATATTCTAGTCATGTCTTTTGGCAAGCATTTTATATATACATTTTTTGTTTGGCATCTTTTTTTTTTTTTTTTTTTACGCATAGAATTCTCTATGAAGTTCTTGTGTCTTTCAGAACTACTAACTTGGTAGGACACAGGTTGGGAAATGCTACTTAGAAACATGGCTGTGATCCTTTAAATCTAGCATCTAAAGAAAAACTGAAAAATATTCCTCACTGCTTTCTAATATATTTATTTTGTTGGGCATCTTCTTAGGAGAGAGTTACTATGTCAGAGATTATGTATATTTTTCACTTTAATAAATATTTCCCATTTTCCAGAGTTGGTTTACCAATTGATGATACTAGCAGTATTTGAGAGCCTCCAGTGCTCCACATCTAACATTTATATTGTCAGTATTTAAAAATTTTAGCCATTCTTAGTGTATAGTGTATAATAATATTTCAGTTTTACTTTAAACTTTCATAACTAATGAAATTGAGCATCTTCTTCATGTTTGTTGTCTACTTGGATTTTTTTATTCATACATTTGTTTAAGTCTTTTGTGTGTATTTTTAAGAAATGGCATTGTCTGCCTTTTATAATTTGTGAGAATATTTTATATAGCTAGACATCAGTCTTTTCTCAGATATGAATACATACACACATATATATTGCAGACATCTTCCCACTCTAGATTTTACTATTCTCTTACTGGTATCTCTTAAAAAACAGAATTCTAAAATTTGATATAGCCCTATTTATCCATTTTTTTCCTTTGATGGTAAGTGCTTTCTGTGATATGAGAAATCTTTCCCAAGTCCCAAAGATGTTTTTGTATATATTATTTTCTAAAAGTTTTTTGTTTTGCTTTTCACATTTAGCTCTGCAGTTCATCTGGAATTGATTCTTGTATATGGTGAGAGGTAGTGGTTAAGACCCATTGTTTTCCCATGTGAACATGTAATTGACCTAGTACCATTTATGGAAGAGAGCATCTTTTTTCCTCTGTATTGCAGTGTCACCTTTATCATAAATAACGTGACTACGGGAATGGATCAGTTTCTATTCTGTTACATTAGACTGTACCAACACAAGATGACTTAATTACTATAGCTTTATAATAGATCTTGCTATTCAGCTGTGTAAGTACTCCAACAGTTTTTTCTTCTTTAGCATTACCTGGGCTATTCTTTGACCTTCGCATTTCCATATGAATTTTAGAAGCAGCTTCTCAATTCTCCCTCTTCCTTCCCCCATCCCCACCATTATTTTGATCCAGATTGGGTGAATCTGAAGAGATTTACAATAACAACTCTCTAGATAGAGTTGACATCTTTACAAAGTATTAATTTTTGCCATCCATGAAATGGATATGCACCTCCATTTATTTATGTTTCCAGTTTATCTTGGTAATATTTTAAGTTTCGGGAGAGTCTGTCCTTAGATTTATTCCTAGGTATTTGATGTTTCTTAATGCTGTCATAAATGGCATTTTTTTTTTTAATTTTTGTTTTCTGTTTGTTGCTGGTGTGTGTGTGTGCATACATGCATAAAAATATATGCACAGAGAAATATAATTGATTTTTTAAAAATTAACATTGTAGCCAGTGTTTTTGCTAAATTTATTACTTCTAAGAGTGTATCCATGGATTCTTTTAAATTTTCTACATATGTTACGCTATTGTATCACCTGTTAATAGTGATTGTTTCATTGTGCCTCTTTCAGTCCTTATATCTTACTCCTTTTTCTTGCCTTGTTATACTGGCTAGGACTTCCATTACAGTGTTAAATACCTTGGGGAAAAGCTTCCATTAATTTGCCGCTTAGTGTAATATTTGCTGTGGGTTTTTTTGTAAATACTCTTTATCAAGTTTATGAGTTACCTGTACTCTAATTGGCTAATAGTGTTTTAAAATTATGAATAGATACTGAATTTTACCAGGTGCTTTTTCTCTGTCTTTTGACTTGATCGTATAAATTTTCACCATTTTCTCTATTAATGTGGTTAATTGTTATTTGAATATTAAGCCATCTTTGTGTTCCTGGCAGGGGTTAGAGGGACCTGCAGCTTGGTTATGAGGTATTCTCTTATATATATATATATATTTTTTTTAATCTGTTACTGGATTTGATTTGCTAATACTTTGTATAGAACTTCTGTGTCTGGGGTCATGAGAGAGAATGGTTTGTACTTTTCCTTTCTTGAAATACCCAGAGTTTTTGATACCAAGGTTTTGATAATCTCAAAAATAGTTGGGAAATTTTTCATCTTTTTCAATTCTCTGGAAGCATTTTTATAAATTGGTTATTTCTTCCATAAATGTTTGGAAGACTTTACTAATGAAGCCTTTAGGCCAAGGTTTCCTTGTGGGAAGAATTTTAAATCAGAATTAGTTTCTTTAATAAATATCACTCTTCATATTTTGTTTTTTTCTGTCAGCTTTGAGAGACTGTATTTCTTGAGGAATTTGTTCATTTAATCCAAATTTTCAAATTTTGTCTGTCTACAGCATCTGAAAGGTGTCCCTTTATACTGGAATTTATTTTTTTTTCAATTTCTTGGTCAGTCTCAGGATTTTCAGTTTTCAAAGAATCAGCCATTGGCTTTGATTGTATCTGTTGCACATTTGTGTACTGTTGGGTTATTTTATTTGTATTAGTTTCTTCATTCTCCTTTCTTTGATTTGCTGTTTTTAGTTTTGTAAGATAGATTTTATAAGATTTCAGTCTTTATACGTATTTAAGACTTTAACTTTTCATCTACGTACTACTTTAGCTGCATCCCACAAATTTTTGATATATCTTCATTATCATCCAATAAAAACATTTTCTAATTTCCATTTTAATTTCTCCTTTGACCACACATTTTTAGAAGTATATTGTTTCATCTCAGCCAACAGGTGATTTTCTAGTTACCTTTCTGTTTCTATCTGCCACTGTTGTCAGAGAACATATTGTGAATGATCTCAATCTTTTGAATTTATTGAGCCTTTCTTTATGACCACTTTATGGTCAATTTGCTAAATATGTCATGTGCACTTAAAAAGAATGTGAATTCTGGTGTCATTGGGTGCAGTGTCCTGTGTATGTCAGATCAAGTGTATTGTGTCCAGCTCATCTTCCTGATTTTTTTTGGCTTGCTTATTCTATCCATTTGTTGAGACAGGTATTAAAATTCACACTGTGATTTTGGGTTTCTCTCTTTTCTCTTTATTTCTGTTAGGTTTTTTCTCTTTATGTATTTTGAAGTTATGTTATTGACTATATGCATGTTTAGGAATCTTATATCTTCCTGTCAGATTGACACTTCCAAGTCGTCTTAATCATTCAGGCTGCTGTAACAAAATATCATAGACTGGATAGCTTAAACAATAAACAGTTATTTGTACAGTTCCAGAGCCTGGAAAGTCCAAGATCAAGGCACCCACAGATTTGTGTCTGGTGACGACCCATTTCCTGGTTGTAGACTGATGTCTCTTTACTGTAACCTCACATAGAAGGGTAGCTCTTTGGGATCACTTTTTTTTTTAATCACTTTTATAAGGACACTAATTCCATCTATGAGGTCTCTACCCTCATGACTTAATAACCTCCCAAAGTCCTCACCTTTTAGTACTGTCACATTGGAGGTTAGGATTTCAACATATGAATCTTGTGGGGACACAAGCATTCATTGTATAAGAACAATCATTATGTGGTATCTTTTTTTTTATCTCTAATAATTTCCCCTTGTAGTCTACTTATAGTTTGAGTTTGCATAGTATAGATTTTCCCATCCTCATTTCTCTGTCATAACCCACAATACACTGCCAGGTGGTGCCAACTTGGTGGAGAAGGGGTAGCCTTCAGACCTCTGCCTGATCCATGGTCCCCAGGTCTAGATAGAGCTTGCCATTATTCCACTTCTCCCTCACCCCACCCTCTAGGCTTCCTTTACTTGGGACATAGTGTCTCTGCATTTCCTTCTTTTTTTGCCTTCACCTCTTTTCTTCCCTCCACCCTAGAACATGAGGGGTCTCAGCCCCCAGCCTTTGAGCTCCTTGGGGGCAGACCCTCAGTAAATGTGAGGTGCTGCACCCCCCAAAAACAAAAACAAAAACCCTTGTTTGCAGTCTTTCTGTGTCCTTATATTTATTTGTCACTGTTTTATGTTTGTTTTACAGTGTTTTGTGTATGATCCACCTGTCTTATATTCCTTTTTCTTCTTTTGAATTATTTAAGTTATTTTAAAAATTTTCTTCTTATATTAACTTGTTAATTATGCATTCTTTTACAGTTTTTTGTTATCCTCAAGAACATTAAGTTTATTCTTGACTTACAAGTTAATTCCCTAACAAAATATGCTTCCCTAACAAAACACTGCTAGAACATTAGAATTGTTTAATTCCATCTGAATTTTGTCAGGTGCTTTTTCTGCATCTCTCTGTCTTCTGGCCCATAGGTTTCTTATCATGCATTTTAGTTCTGCATGTATTTTAAACTTCACAGCTATTATAGTGACGATTTTGTACAGCTGATAATAATTTATATTCACTCCAAAATTTACTTTTTCCTTAATGAATTTACATTTTCCCACTTTTCATCTACTTGAAGAGCTCAGTTTAGTATTTCTCCTAATATGCTAATCCCCTCAGATTTTGTTGTGTAAAATGCCTTTACTTTCATTTTTGAATCCTATTTGCTAGCATTGAATTTAGGTTGCCGGTTGGTTTTCTTTAGTGCTTTGGAAAAATGATACAGTTATCTCCTGGCTTCCATCATGTCCCATTAGTGGGATTGTGACTTTTTTTTTCCTCTTGACTCATCTTTAGATTTTCTTTTTGTCTTTGATGTCAGTCTTTTATCACGTTATGCCTAAATATGGCTTTGTTGGAATTTACCCTGCTTAGAGTTTACTGGTTGATATCACTTATCAGTTGTGGAAAATTCAATTATTCAATTATTTTTTAGAATGTGGCTTCTTCATTATTCCCTCCTCTTTTTCTAGATTATAAATTCTCACATATTTTCTTTTAAGTGTGTCCACTTATTTCTTATGTTTTTTCCCTATATTCTTTTTAAAATTTTTTCCATTATGCTTCAGTTTGGATATTGATACTGATCTTTTTTCTCTTTCCCTAATCATGTCTTTGTGTCCAGTATACTATTAAACACCTCTATCTATTAAGTTCTTAATTTCAGATGCTGTGTTTTGTTTTGTTTTTTTTAAGTAGGCTCCATGCACAGCATGGAGCCCAAGGCAGGGCTTGAACTCACGACCGTGAGATCAAGACCTAAGCTGAGATCAAGAATGAAACACTCAACTGACTGAGCCTGAGCCACCCAGACACCCCTCAGATGCTGTATTTTTCATTTACAGAATGAAAATGTCTGTTGTCGTTTTTTTATGGATTCCAGTTCTTTGTAGAAAGTTTCCATTTTAACCCACTTTTTCCTTTATTTTCTTGAACATATTAATAATCATAGTCATTTAAAGTCTTTCTGTGCTAACTCCAGTCTGGATCATCTGTGGGTCAGCTTCTGTTTTCGGTCTTTTTCTCCTAGTTGTTGGTCATATAGTCTTGCCTCTTTTATGCCCGGTAACTTTTTATTCTATACTGGATATTGTGTGTAGAGTGCTAGAGATCCCAGATGATTTTATCTTTTACTAGAAAAGGTTTCCTCTTTACTCTCTTAGGCAGGTAGGGTGGGAAACTGATTTTAATCCATCAGGAATTGAGCTATGTCAGGGCTAGATTGTAGTTTTGATAAAAACTGTATCTTTGATTTGCCCTATTCCTAGGTTGTGGACTTTCAGGAGTTTTGAACTGAGAATCTGGCAGGTATTTGTCTCCTCAGTCTACAAGACTGGGAGATTCAGTTTTGCCCTTCTGAGGTTTTTAGCCTGGTCCTTTAGCCTTCTGCCCCATTCAGCTTCAAAATTTGGCAGATATCTTGGGGGGGGACTGGCCATGTGTCTGGCCCCTCAGGTCTACAGTTTTGTCACTCCAGCCCCACGTGAGTGCCAGAATCTCTGCTGGTTTCTCTGTCCCCCAGTAGGGACCTTCTGCCAGGGGCCATGCCTGGATTCTCAACTCTTGCTGCATCCAGAATTGGTAAGTGACCCCAGGTGAAAAGTGGCTATAGGTGGAAAGTGCCCTCTAGGGCTTTATTTTGCCAGTTTTGTTTCAGGCCCCTACCCCTGGTGGGTCATTGTCTCCTAGTACCACCAGCCTGGGAGATTTCACTACTTCTTTAGCCTCTCATGTAGCCTCAGAATTCAGTTTTGTGGGGGGGGGAAATTAGCTATGTGTTTGAGGCTCCTCAAATCTCTAATGTGACTGCTGTAGCCCCATCAACCACTTACCACTAAAAGTTTTGCAGATACTCTTTCTCCCAGTGGTGACCTTTTGTTGGGGCCAAGCCCTGATCCTTAGCCCACACCCTGAATCAGCAAATGTCCCCAGAGACTAAAACAGCTACTAGTCCATCAGCTTATCAGTGAATGATTCTCCCTCTCTGGAATTTTAGTCCATCTGCTGTACATTGTCTCTGTACTGTTCTGATGCCTTTAAAAATAAGGTTTTTGTAATTCATTTGACTTTTTCAAGTTGTTATGAGAAGCATTGACCAGCTACATCCTACTACATCCTACCCAGAAGTAGAAATTACAGTTACAAATTAATTGAGCATATTCCACTTAAGAAAATAACTAGATAAAATTGCTTTTTTGTCTTTGGTTCTCATTATTTTCTTTCTGTGTTCTTGGTCCTTGTTAGGGAAAAAAAGAAAGATTCCTCCCCCTATTTTAATGCATTAGTAAATGTAATACTTTACTCTCAGAGTGTAATCTGCTCTTGTGTGGCTTTTTCCTTCTTTTCTTTTGAAGTTACTTTGTTAACAAAGACAAATAATCATGGATTATAAAGATAAGGTTATATGTAAATTCAGTGTATATTGTTGAATATATTGTTGTGGGAACAATTAATTATAATGTTGATTTTATTCCATGCATATAGTTTCAGATGATAATGAAGAAACTGATGGTGATGGTGTTCATGAAGTAACAAGCCGAGATAGTCCAGTTTATCCCAAATGTTTGCTTGATGATGATCTTGTCCTGGGAGTTTACATTCACCGCACTGATCGACTTAAGTCCGATTTTATGATTTCTCACCCAATGGTAAAAATTCATGTGATTGATGAGAATACTGGTCAATATGTCAAGAAAGATGATAGGTAATTTTTTTAATTGCACAGCCAACCCTTGAAATTGAAACTGTCTACAGAAGTCCTCTTTTCTGCCATTGAAAGTCAATGGAAATAGAGCTAAGGATTTGTATTAGAGAATAATTTACTTGTTGTAGATGTTCATAGATCATTGATACTGATCAGTATCTTTTCTAGAAGACATAGAGAACATTTGTTAATTCAGTGATTCATTTTAAGTGGAGGGGAGTTGAGAGAGCTTCTACCAAACTTAATGACTAATTTATGGCATTGAACTTGTAGTGTAAATCACTGCGTGTTGCACTGTACATGCTTTAATTGTCTAACTTCATATTTTTCTTTTGAAGTTAATAGGTTACTTGGGGATCATATGAAGGCAGTGAATCTTGAATTTAATTTTTTCCTAGTATTACTTCTATAGCTAATACATGCTTGAAGCTTACATATAAAAAGCACAGTGAAATAAATGATTATACTAGAACTCAAAAGTCATTTGCTTGGAAAAATGATAGGGATGAGGAACATGAAGATTATCAAAGTTCAATTATTCAGTTATCTTAGGGCATACAAAAAATATGACATACCTCAAAGGGTTTGCAATGCTGTTGTGCTCATTTTCTTATTTAAATGTACTGTACTATTTTATTACAAACTCCTTTAAGATTCTGAAGGAGTCTAGCTCTGTATGTTGCACCTCACTTTATATTTCTGTAATAAGATAATTCTGTGAAACCAATCAGTAGTGTATAGATAAAAGATAATAGTAGGGTATTACCACTTCTTAGTTTCATAAATTTGTAATTTTCTCGATGGAAAACCAAAATAATTTTTCATTATATATCATGACTATTCATTATTTCTTCACCTTGAGCACTATATTTTTTTCTCATTTTCTCAAAATTATCATAAAGAATTGTGTTAATGGGAGCATCTTTTTTGGACAGTGAACGGCCTGTTTCATCTTACTATGAAAAAGAGAGTGTGGATTACATTCTTCCTATTATGACCCAGCCATATGATTTTAAACAATTAAAATCAAGACTTCCAGAGTGGGAAGAACAAATTATATTTAATGAAAATTTCCCCTATTTGCTTCGAGATTTTGATGAGAGCCCTAAAGTCATCTTGTTTTTTGAGGTATGAATTGAATAGAACAATTTAAACTAAATTTTGGCTAATATTTTAATAGCATAAATGTAAGCTATTTTTTTAGTAGTTTAATAATGCAAAAAAGTGTGAGGATTTAATCCCTAGGATTTAGTGTTTGTAATATGCTGTGGAGATGTAGTATGTTGTAATAGCATATTTGCTGAGCATTTACCAGTGTAAGTAATTAGCCATGTAATTCACTCGGTATTATTTAATTCTGACAGCAATACTATGACTGTAAACTGAAGTGATGATTCTAATCTATATCTATACAATCCTCTATTCTTAACCCATTTTACAGAATGTAAACTCATTTAACTATATTGGACTCCCTAAGAGTTTGTATACAACCAAGGGAAAGATGAACACTTTGACTAATACAACGTAATATATAACCAAGATGAAGTGGAACTTCCTAGATGTGGAGGGTGGATAGAAGGTCAGAGCAGTCAGGGAAAGCTTTATGAAATATATGGCCTTTCAGCTGACTTGTTATTCTAATTTTTTTATGGAAAAGGAAATCAAGGTTCAGAGTATAACGTTGTTTACCCAAAGTTATTCCAATATTTTTTCTTTTTTTTTTGCATTTTTTAAAATTTTGTTATGTTAGTCACCATACATCATTAGTTTTTGATGTAGTGTTTCATGATTCATTGTTTGTGAATAACACCCAGTGCTCCATTCAATATGTGCCCTCTTTAATACCCATCACCAGGCTAACCCATCCCTCCACCCCCTCCCCTCTAGAACCCTCCGTTTGTTTCTCAAGAGTCCATAGTCTCTCATGGTTCGTCTCCCCATCCAATTCCCCCCCTTCGCTTTTCCCTTCCTACTATCTTCTTTTTTTTTTAACATATAATGTATTATTTGTTTCAGAGGTACAGGTCTATGATTCAACAGTCTTACACAGTTCACAGCGCTCACCATAGCACATACCCTCCCCAATGTCTATCACCCAGCCACCCCATGCCTCCCACCCCCCACCACTCCAGCAACCCTCAGTTTGTTTCCTGAGATTAAGAATGCCTCATATCAGTGAGATCATATGATATATGTCTTTCTCTGATTGACTTATTTCACTCAGCATAATACCCTCCAGTTCCATCCACATCGTTGCAAATGGCAAGAGTTCATTCCTTTTGATGGCTGGATAATATTCCGTTGTGTATATATACCACATCTTCTTTATCCATTCATCTGTCGATGGACATCTTGGCTCTTTCCATAGTTTGACTGTTGTGGACATTGCTGCTATAAACATCGGGGTGCACATATCCCTTCGGATAACTACATTTGTATCTTTGGGGTAAATACCCAGTAGTGCAATTGCTGGGTCATAGGGCAGCTCTATTTTCAACTTTTTGAAGAACCTCCATACTGTTTTCCAGAGTGGCTGCACCAGCTTGCATTCCCACCAAGAGTGTAGGAGGGTTCCCCTTTCTCCACATCCCTGGCAACATCTGTCGTTTCCTGACTTGTTAATTTTAGCCATTCTGACTGGTGTGAGGTGGTATCTTATTGAGGTTTTGATTTGGATTTCCCTGATGCCGAGCGATGTTGAGGACTTCTTCCTGTGTCTGTTGGCCATTTGGATGTCTTCTTTGGAAAAATGTCTGTTCATGTCTTCTGCCCATTTCTTGATTGGATCATTTGTTCTTTGGGTGTTGAGTTTGATCAGTTCTTTAAATTTTGGATACTAGCCCTTTATCTGATATGTCATTTGCAAATATCTTCTCCCATTCTGTCAGTTGTGTTTTGGTTTTATTGACTGTTTCTTTTGCTGTGCAAAAGCTTTTTATCTTGATGAAGTCCCAATAGTTCATTTTTGCCCTTGCTTCCCTTGCCTTTGGTGACGTTTCTAGGAAGAAGTTGTTGCGGCTGAGGTCAAAGAGGTTGCTGCCTGTGTTATCCTTTAGGATTTTGATGGACTCCTGTCTCACATTTAGGTCTTTCAACCATTTTGAGTCTGTTTTCGTTTGTGGTATAAGGAAATGGTCCAGTTTCATTCTTCTGCATGTGGCTGTCCAATTTTCCCAACACCATTTGTTGAAGAGACTGTCTTTTTTCCATTGGACATTCTTTCCTGCTTCGTCGAAGATTAGTTGACCATAGAGTTGAGGGTCCATTTTGGGGCTCTGTATTCTGTTCCATTTGATCTATGTGTCTGTTTTTGTGCCAATACCATACTGTCTTGATGATGACAGCTTTGTAATAGAGCTGAAAGTCTGGAATTGTGATGCCACCAGCTTTGCTTTTCTTTTTCAACATTCCTCTGGCTATTCGGGGTCTTTTCTGGTTCCATACAAATTTTAGGATTATTTGTTCCATTTCTTTGAAAAAAGTGGATGGTATTTTGATAGGGATTGCTTTAAATGTGTAGATTGCTCTAGGTAGCATTGACATCTTCACAATATTTGTTCTTCCAGTCCATGAGCATGGAACGTTTTTCCATTTCTTTGTGTCTTCCCAGTTTCTTTCATGAGTATTCTATAGTTTTCTGAGTACAGATTCTTTGCCTCTTTAGTTAGATTTATTCCTAGGTATCTTATGGTTTTGGGTGCAATTGGGCGTAAATGGGATCGACTCCTTAATTTTCCTTTCTTCTGTCTTGTTGTTTTTGTATAGGAATGCCACTGATTTCTGTGCTTTGATTTTATATCCTACCACTCTACTGAATTCCTCTATGAGTTCTAGCAGTTTTGGGGTGGAGTCTTTTGGGTTTTCCACTTAGAGTATCATATCATCTGCAAAGAATAAGGGTTTAACTTCTTCTTTGCAGATCCAGATGCCTTTTATTTCTTTTTGATATCTGATTGCTGTGGCTAGGACTTCTAATACTATGTTGAATAGCAGTGGTGATAGTGGACATCCCTGCCGTGTTCCTGACCTTAGGGGGAAAAGCTCTCAGTTTTTCCCCATTGAGAATGATATTTGCTGTGGGTTTTTCATAGATGGCTTTTATGATACTGAGGTATGTACCCTCTACCCCTATACTCTGAAGAGTTTTGACCAAGAAAGAATGCTGTACTTTGCCAAATGCTTTTTCTGCATCTATTGAGAGGATCATATAGTTTTTGTTCTTTCTTTTATTAATGTAATGTATCACATTGATTGATTTGTGGATGTTGAACCAAACTTGCAGCCCAGGAATAAATCCCACTTGGTCATGGTGAATAATCCTTTTAATGTACTGTTGGATCCTATTGGCTAGTATTTTGGTGAGAATTTTTGCATCCATGTTCATCAGGGATATTGGTCTGTAATTCTCCTTTTTGATGGGGTCTTTGTCTGGTTTGGGGATCAAGGTAATGGTGGCCTCATAAAACGAGTTTGGAAGTTTTCCTTCCATTTCTATTTTTGGAACAGTTTCAGAAGAATAGGTATTCTTTAAATGTTTGGTAGAATTCCCCTGGGAAGCCATCTGGCCCTGGGCTTTTGTTTTTTGGGAGATTTTTGATGACTCCTTCAATTTCCTTAGTGGTTATAGGTCTGTTCAGGTTTTCTATTTCTTCCTGGTTCAGTTTTGGTAGTTGATACATCTCTAGGAATGCATGCATTTCTTCCAGATTATCTAATTTGCTGGCATATAGTTGCTCGTAATATGTTCTTATAATTGTTTGTATTTCTTTGGTATTGGTTGTGATGTCTCCTCTTTCATTCATGATTTTGTTGATTTGGATCATTTCTCTTTTCTTTTTGATAAGTCTGGCCAGGGGTTTATCAATCTTGTTAATTCTTTCAAAGAACCAGCTCCTAGTTTCGTTGATCTGTTCTACTATTCTTTTGGTTTCTATTTCATTGATTTCTGCTCTGATCTTTATTATTTCTTTTCTCCTGCTGGGTTTAGGCTTTATTTGCTGTTCTTTCTCTAGCTCCTTTAGGTGTAGGTTGTGTATTTGAGACCTTTCTTATTTCTTGAGAAAGGCTTGTATTGCTATATACTTTCCTCTTGGGCCTGCCTTTGTTGCATCCCAAAGATTTTGAACAGTTGTGTTTTCATTTTCATTTGTTTCCATGAATTTTTTTAATTCTTCTGTAATTTCCTGGTTGACCTATTCATTCTTTAGTAGGATCCTCTTTAGCCTCCATGTATTTGAGTTCTTTCTGACTTTCCTCTTGTGATTGAGTTCTAGTTTCAAAGCACTGTGGTCCAAAAATACGCAGGGAATGATCCCAATCTTTTGGTACCGGTTGAGACCTGATTTGTGACCTAGGATGTGATCTATTCTGGAGAGTGTTTCATGGGCACTAGAGAAGAATGTGTATTCTGTTGCTTTGGGATGGAATGTTCTGAATATATCTGTGAAATCCATTTGGTCCAATGTGTCATTTAAAGTCTTTATTTCCTTGTTGATCTTTTGCTTAGATGATCTGTCCATTTCAGTGAGGGGGGTGTTAAAGTCCCCTACTATTATTGTATTACTGTCGATGTGTTTCTTTGCTTTTGTTATTAATTGACTTATATAATTGGCTGCTCCCATGTTAGGGGCATAGATATTTACAATTGTTAGATCTTTTTGTTGGGTAGATCCTTTAAGTAGGATATAGTGTCCTTCCTCATCTCTTATTATAGTCCTTGGTTTAAAATCTAATTTGTCTGATACAAGAATTGCCACCCCAGCTTTCTTTTGGTGTCCATTAGCATGGTAAATGGTTTTCCACCCCTTCACTTTCAATCTGGAGGTGTCTTTGGATCTAAAATGAGTCTCTTGCAGACAGCATATTGATGGGTTTTGTTTTTTTATCCAGTCTGATACCCTGTGTCTTTTGACTGGGGCATTTAGCCCATTTACATTCAGGGTAACTATTAAAAGATACGAATTTAGTGCCATTATATTGCCTGTAAGGTGACTGTTACTGTATATTGTCTGTGTTTCTTTCTGGTCTATGTTACTTTTAGGCTGTCTCTTTGCTTAGAGGACCCCTTTCAATATTTTTTGTAGGGCTGGTTTCATGTTTGCACATTCCTTTAGTTTTGTTTGTCCTGGAAGCTTTTTACCTCTCCTTCTCTTTTCAATGACAGCCTAGCTGGATATAGTATTCTTGGCTGCATATTTTTCTCATTTAGTGCTCTGAATATATGATGCCATTCCTTTCTGGCCTGCCAGGTTTCTGTGGATAGGTCTGTTGCCAATGTTTCTACCATTGTAGGTTACAGATCTCTTATCCCGAGCTGCTTTCAGGATTTTCTCTTTGTCTCTGAGACTGGTAAGTTTTACTATTAGGTGTCGGGGTGTTGACCTATTTTTACTGATCTTGAGCGGGGGTTCTCTGTGCCTCCTGGATTTTGATGCCTGTTTCCTTCCCCAAATTAGGGGAGTTCTCTGCTATAATTTGCTCCAATATACCTTCTGCCCCTCTCTCTCTTTCTTCTTCTGGGATCCCAATTATTCTAATATTGTTTCGTCTTATGTTATCACTTATCTCCCGAGTTCTGCCCTCGTGATCCAGTAGTTGTTTATCTCTCTTTTTCTCAGCTTCTTTATTTTCCATCATTTGTCTTCTATATCACTAATTCTCTCTTCTGCCTCATTTATCCTAGCAGTTAGAGCCTCCATTTTTTATTGCACCTCATTAATAGCCTTTTTGATTTCAACTTTGTTAGAATTTAGTTCTTTTATTTTTCCAGAAAGGGTTTCTCTAATATCTTCCATGCTTTTTTCAAGCCCAGCTAGTATCTTCATAATCGTCATTCTGAACTCTAGTTCCGACATCTTACTAATGTCAGTATTGATTAGGTCCCTGGCAGTTGGTACTGCCTCTTGTTCTTTTTTTTTTGAGGTGATTTTTGCCGTCTGTCATTTTGTCCAGAGGAGAATAGATGAATGAGAGAACAAAATGCCAACAGGGTAACAACGACCCCAGAAAAATATACACTGAACAAATCAGAAGAGGTCTGAAACTGGGAAAAAATAAAAGGGAAAGAAAGAAAAAGATTAAAAAAAAAAAGAATATGATCAAATATGGTCAGGCTGGTGAGTAGATCAGTGCCACACACTAGATTTCAAGCATATTTTGGTCTGTTAGAAGAAACTGCCTCCCAAAATTTTAAAGAAAGAAAAGCTTATGTCTGTACAAAAATAAGGGTAAATACGATGAAGGGATAGAATATGATTGTAAAGATGAAAATTATAAAAGATTTTATAAAAGGAATTGATAAGTTGGTTGAAGAAAGAAAGAAGAGAAATTAAAAATTAAGGAACTTCCATACTGTTTTCCAGAGTGGCCGTTGCTTCTTAAGTTTTAACATAATATGTTATTGTCTACAAAACTACTTTTGATTTCAACTTTTAAGGGTTTATTAAGGACAACTTGGTATCTATCAGAAGTCTTTAAAATCATTATTCCACTTCTCAGCATTTCTACTAAGGAAAAAATTACAAGAACACAAAGACGTGTGTGCAAGAATAAACACTTTAACAGTAAAAATTTTAGGGAGACAAATCTCTTCAATCAGGAAGAGATTTGGTTATGTAAATAATAGTTTTTATTAAATTTATGGTATTTATAATACCAAACTATATTAGGCAGACATTAACATGATGAAATATGTATGTATGTATTGGCTTGAAGAAATATTCACTACATGGTATATAAAAATAGTTTGCAAAATAGCATTGGATTTGTAGTAACATACATATATTTAGGAATGCACAGAAAAAGGTTTAGATATAGTGTAAACCAGATGTTAATGTTGATCATGTATGGATCTGGATTACAAGTTGTTTTTACTTCGTTATATATTTTTCTTGTATTGTTAGTGTTTTTTCACTGAGCAGCTATTGTATCTGAAGACAGATTTAAGTATAAAAGAAGAGGGATGAATGGAGTCCATATTATTTTTTAAGCTATCTATAAAGATTTGTTAGCTCAGCTTTTGAGAAGTGCCAGTAAGGAAAAAGTGATAGTCTCTGACAAGTACCTAGAATACAGGTGGTGTCTGTGGCAGGTTTGTTCCAAATTCCGTGAGTTTTAACATCCAGACAGGATGGAAATATGAAGGAAATCCTCTTGAGAAGCCTAATGACCGCATATATCCAAAGAGAAAATCCCCAACTTCAGAAAGGTGATGTAAGGAAGGACCCAGATGTAAGATCATGAGTTTTTTAAACAATCATTTGAAGTCTGCATTCATACATTAAAAAAAAAAAAAAATTAAATGTTAAGAATTCTATGACTGGTATATTTGTGCCTAGACTATATTTGAGGTAATTAATACTTGGTCTTTGACATGAAGTAAATCTTAATAAATGATTTATTAATAAAAAGGTGGTCAAAAAATGGACCCTCACTAACAGGATGAGTTAACTTAAAGGTGAATGAGGTAAGAAATGCTTTTCTTGGGCGCCTGGGTGGCTCAGTTGTTAAGCGTCTGCCTTCGGCTCAGGTCATGATTCCGAGGTCCTGGGATCGAGTTCCACATCAGGCTCCCTGCTCGGCAAGAAGCCTGCTTCTCCTTCTCCCATTCCCCCTGCTTGTGTTCCTGCTCTCGCTATCTCTCTCTCTGTCAAATAAATAAATAAAATCTTTAAAAAAAAAAATGCTTTTCTTCCCTGTGAAGAAAGCACCTTTTAAGTGTACAACTTATTTTTTTAATTTCAATAATATGTTACTAGAAAATATTAAATTTTAAGTAGGCTAGTATTCTGTGAAGTAATTTTTTATACTTATTTACAGATACTTGATTTCTTAAGCATGGATGAAATTAGGAATAATTCTGAAGTTCAAAACCAAGAATGTGGCTTTCGGAAAATCGCTTGGGCATTTCTCAAGGTATGTTTTTCACCCATTTTAAACGCTTTAAAAATCATCTTCAAATCTGATTGGCTACATTTTCCCAAGTCCGTTTGGTTTCATATAAGGACTCATGATCTAAGATTGCAGTTGTGAAGAATTGTTAATGCAAGCTAAGGTGATACTCAGATTCTTAAGTATCTACTGAGTGTCTCGTGTGTGCCAGATACACTATTTGATTCTGAGTATGTAGTGCTGAAAAAGATACACAAGAACCTGCCATCATTTATTCAACTTAAAAGATACTTATTAAACCCTTTCTGTGTGCCAGCAGTGATTCAAGTCAGTAAACAAGAAAATAAACTCCTTGACTTTGTTTACTTCATATTTTAGCAAGGAAAGCAAATATAAAACAATTGTTTATAGAGTTTATCATTTTTGCAATTTTTATAAATACTGTGTGGAGGTCAGGGAAAGATTTCCTAAGGAAGAGGCATTGAACCTGAGTATTAGCTAGATGATAGCAGGGGGGAAGAGAGAGAGTTATGGGTAGATAGACGGTATCATATTTGCAAAGACATGATGTTGGAAGGAGTGAGATACACTCAAATAACCAAAAGACCACTGAGATTGGAGGACAGAGACTGAGGGAAGAAATGGTGTCTGAAGAGATTGCTGAGTAGACAGGGTCTTGATCATGCAGTGATCTTTGCATTAGTCTTTGAAGCCATTATAACAATAGGAAGTCAAAATAGAATTCTAAAGAACAATGGGAAGCCATTATAGGATTTTAAACAAAAGGGTAGAATAATCTGATTTAGGTTTAGAAAGATGACTTTGCTTGATGGAGAATGAATTAGAGAAGGTGTACATATATATATAGTGGAAGATTATGGTTGAAAATTCTTAGAGTAATCTTGGTAGGAAATGATGGTGTCTTTAACTAGAGTGTTTCAGCAGAGATGAAAGATGTGATAAGTTGATTTTTACAAAAGGGAAAAATTTAATTTTATTTATTTTTTATTTCTGGTATCCTTTATTTCTGACTTCAAATATAAATGAGTTATAAAAAGTCTTGAATTGGGGCTCCTGGGTGGCTCAGATGGTTAAGCATCTGCCTTCAGCTCAGGTCATGATCCCAGGATCCTGGGATCGAGCCCCACATCAGGCTCCTGGCTCAGCGGGGAGCCTGCTTCTCCCTCTCCCTCTGCCTCTCTCCCTGCTCATGCTCTCTCTCTCCCTCTCTGTATCTCTGTGTCTCAAGTGAATAAATAAAATCTTAAAAAAAAAAAAAAGTCTTGAATTCACCTATTTTGTACAATTTATAAAAATTTTCTGTTTGTGTATCCATCTATTCAACAATATTAAGTGTCTATGAAATGCCAGGCACTCTGCTAAATACAGAGCATTCATAGATAAATTAGACATTGTCCTTGACCTACAGTTCAATTTCTGTATAAACATGTTACATGATTATATGCTATAGAATGGGTGCTGTGAAAACCCAGGTAAGGCACTTAATTCACATTGGGGATTAGAGAGATGCTTTAGAAGAGGTGCAGTTTGGGACACCTGCATGGTTAAGCAGCCTCTTCTTGGTTTCATCTCAAGTCATGATCTCGGGGTCATGAGATCCAGCCCTGTGTGGGGCTCTGAGCATGGAGACTGCTTGGGATTTTCTCTCCCTCTCCCCCTACTCTGCTTCTGCTTGCATGCACTATCTCTCTGAAAATAAATAAATCTTAAAAAAAAAAAAAAAAATAGCTGCTGTCTGACTGCTGAAAGGAAGCCAGATTGGCTGTGGGAGGAAGTAATCAGAGTGGACTTAGGAATCCCTTGGTCCAGTATAGCTTCTAAAATCACCCTTTTGTAACCTGTTATAACTTTTTTGTATCCCCTTCATACTGCTTTTGAGAAAAAAGAGCAAAAGCCAAAAAAAGGTTGCTTTCATATAGCAAATGCTGTCATTGTGTGGTCTTATTAGAAAACACTTTTGTTCCTTTTAAAAATGCTAAGATTTGGAGCGCTTGGGTGGCTCAGTCAGTTAAGCATCTGCCTTCGGCTCAGGTCATGATCCCGGGGTCCTGGGATTGAGTCCCACATCGGGCTCCCTGCTCAGCGGGAAGCTTGCTTCTCCCTCTCCCACTCCCCCTGCTTGTGTTCCATCTCTTGCTGTGTCTCTCTTTGTCAAATAAAAAAATAAAATCTTAAAAACAAAACAAAAACTAAAAAAAAAAATGCTAAGATTTGTGCAAAACTGCAGTAATAACTACAAACTGCACTTGGAAAACAATGTCTTATAGCATCTTTACCTTTAAGTGTGTATAGACTTTTATTTATCCATTTTATGCCATTGGCAGAAATGGCAAATCAGAAATTCTCCCATCTCTACCCCCTGCTACAAAGGGTAAGTATTCTGTCTACTTCCTCTATTTTAACACTTCTGTATCACCTTCATAGATTGTAAGTTTTTCAAAGTCACTGGTGACTTCTTTTTGGCAAATTTGCTGAACGTATTTTAGTCCTTATTTTACCAGATCTCTTTGCATTTGTTATATCACTCTCTTGAAACTCTCTCTTTTTTAATTATTACCAGCTCCCAGCATATGAGTGGCACAGGGAAAATGTTCAGTGAATGTCTGTTGAGAGAATTAACAAATGTATGGACTAGAAAAAATCCATCTTTGAATGTAGCATGGGGGTGCCTGGGTGGCTCAGTCAGTTAAGTGTCTGCCTTCAGCTCAGGTCATGATCCCAGGACCCTGCGTCAAGCTCTGTGCTCAGCAGGGAACCTACTTCTCCCGCTCCCTCTGCCTCTCCCCTCTGCTCATGCTTTCTCACTCTTTCTCAAATAAATAAATAAATAAAATCTTTAAGAAAGTAGCATGAATCAAAATAAAATTTGTGTTAATACCTATACCGTTGGTTCCAGGAATGTCCTAGATAATTGAAAAGTTACTGTAGTGGTCCAAATAAATCCCAAAGGACCCTACCCAGATATAAATGAGACTTTATCTTAATTTCAGCTAGAGACACTTTTAATTCATTTAGCACATATATATTACTATTCTTTTATTTAATAAAATAATAAAGTTTTATTTAGCCACATTCTACATTATATAATTGTAACCATAATGACAGGATCTTGGCTGATCTTCATCATTTAGTCATGCTAAGCATCATACTTGTGTAAACTAGATTGCCTGGTGAGTATTAAAACAACCTATAGAAAGTATGATTTAGAAGGGGGGAATAATATCTCCTTATAATAATATTCTCTTATGATAAGCTTCAGGCAGATAGGAGTAGGGTTTATGAAGGAAGTCTCAAGGGCTTAATATTTAATTACTGAACACTTCTGTTACTCTTTTGAAACTGTTCTTTATCCCTGTATATCATAACCTGGATGTTGGTTATGGGACTACCTTTGAAAAATCCTAATTCAGCAACCATTTATCACATGAGATTTGTAGACCCTGCCCAGGAACCTGTAGAATTTATTCAGCAGAAGCAGTACCCTGCTCCATGTGCGTCTGTTCAGGTGATCAGCTTACCAAGCATATTAGGCCGTCCCCCTTGGAAACAGTGGCCTCGGGCCAGCAGCTGCTGCAGCAGCCTGTGTTCCCTCCTGCTCCGACACCGTGGCCCTGTTGTCTGGGATTTCTGCGGCCATCCTGTGGAACCCTGGGACTTCTCTCAAGCTTTATGAAACCTTCGCTATTTTTCCCTGCATGACAGTGTTCTGTCCTGTCTGTCATGGGAGTTCTGCCAATTTTAATGTGATCATGGTATAAACAGTAAAATGATTTAAAAATGAAAAAAAAAAAAAGCTTATGATCTCCATTGACTTTACATCCTCCCTTAGAAGGCTAGGGATGAAATGGGCTACATTTTTGCCAGCTCTGGTTATTGATGCCTCATTCCTGAACACACTGCAATCTGGATTTTGTTTCAGCTGTGAAAGTATCTCCAAACAAATAATCAGTGACTTCTATTTGCCACATTAGTGGGTGCACATTTTTCATTTATTCTTTTATCACACCTGTGTGTGCGTTTAATACATCACTCTCTTGAACCTCTGATTCCTGGGTTTTCTTGACACCATCCTTTTGTACTTTTCCCTTTACCATTCCTTCAGTTTCCTTCATGGTATTCCACTCACCTCTCTCATATCAGTCCTACTCATGGTTTCAGCTTTATTCTATTTTTCTTAGACCGCTTTTCTTGCCTCTGCCTCAGATTTCAGATATTTCAACTTGGATGACCTATAAATATCTCAGACTTTAGCATCCTACCTAAATCCTTCACCCCGTCTGCTGCTTGAGTTGATAGCACTGCCATCAGCCCAGTCTCCCACATTTAGAGCCTTAGAGTTGCACTGTTCATTTTGGTAGCCTCAAATCACATGTGGCTATTTGAATTCAAATTAATTAATTAAAATTAAATATAATTAAAAATTGAGTTCCACAGTTGTACTAGTCACACTTCAAGTGCTCGATAACCGTATGTGACTAGTGTATCTTGTACTGGGTACCACAAGTATAAAATGCTCACATCATCACAGAAAATTTTATTGGACTGCACTGCCTTAGAGTCTTTCCTAAATCTTCCCTTCTTTCCCTTTCCAAGTGGCATCAGTCAGTAACAGCTACTGAATATTTTCCCTGCACTCAGTCCTTGTTCTCCTAAGCTGTCACCTTCATGTTCTGCCTCAACTGCTGCAAAAGCTTCCAATTGTCTCCTCCGAATTTGTAGAGGACACAAAGGTTAACATGACATTTTCTACTTAGTTATAGTCTAGTGAAAGGGGCCTTATTTTGAGTTGGTGAGATTTTTATTTTTCTCACAAGCATCTCCATTTATTTAGCTTAAATATAAGTTGTTTTAGTTTTTTTTATTGAATAGCCCTTTTTAAGAAGGTAGACTAAAACATTTTTAAAGGTAATGAATGCCTTGAATGAGTTTATGTTAATTACCTTTTGAAAATGATTTTGACTTTTTAAAAATTAAAACATTGAAATATTACCATTAAAGGGGCGCCTGGGTAGCTCAGTCAGTTAAACAACAGACTCCTGATTTTAGCTCAGGTCATGATCTCAGGGTCCTGAGATTGAGCCCCATGTTGGGCTCTGCATTGGGTGTGGATTCTGCTTAAGATTCTCTCTCTGCGCACCTCCCTCCACTTGTGCGCACGCATGTGCACTCTGTCTTTCCTCCCCTCTCCTGTGCATGTGCTCTCTCAAAAAAATTTTTTTTAAAATGTTCATTAAAAATACTGATACTAAACAAATGGAAAATTTCTTTCTGTGTTTAAATATTATGCGTTTTAACTTTTATCACTGTTGTTTCAAATAAAGGTATCTTGATTACCTCCTTTGTGCCAAGTAACCTCTGACACAGTAATGTAAATGCTTTACCAACAGCCTGAACTTGTACAGGCCAGGCAGCTATCAGGAGAATATTTAAAAAGTAATTTGGGTTGCACAATTCACAGCGCTCACCATAGCACATACCCTCCCCAGTGTCTATCACCCAGCCACCCCATCCCTCCCACCCCACCCCCCACTCCAGCAACCCTCAGTTTGTTTCCTGAGATTAAGAATTCCTCATATCAGTGAGGATATTAACATAACAATAAAAAATTTTTTTAAAAAGTAATTTGTGTTACCTTTTGTCAAAATGATCTGGAATTGTGTTTAACCAACTGTGTCAGTGTTCTTTGCTTTATATATCTAAGGAATTTCAGCATGCCATATTAATCTTTTTAAAATGAGTTTTTGACTATATGCTGTTGCTTTACTGGATGTATTTATTTTCAGTGAAAATAACATTTTATTGGAATTCTTATTTTAAGCTTCTTGGAGCCAATGGAAATGTAAACATCAACTCAAAACTTCGTTTGCAGCTGTATTACCCACCTACTAAGCCCCGATTCCAATTAAATGTTGTTGAGGTTTTTGAATGGTGGTCAAAATATCCAAGAAATCGTTATCCATCAACATTATACGTAACTGTAAGAGGATTGAAAGTTCCAGAATGTGTAAGTTAATAGCACGTTCTCTGTTGTTGAAATTAAATGGTGATGTTTTTCATTTCTAAAAAGATAAGGTCTCTAAAATTATTTTAATAGATATCTAGGATATAAAAGTATTTTCAACAATTATGTATAAGGCCTATACTAGCTAATATGTAAAAGATACTTAAATGAATATTAATTACTAAATGTAAGTTTTGGTGTTAGGAGAATTTTTTAAAAATAATATTGGCTTTTAAAAATTAAAGATAAAAGAATGATGTAAAGTAGGTGTTGACAAATATTTTCTGTAAAGCCCAAGAGTAGTTAATATTTTAGGTTTTGTAGACCATACAGTTTTTGTTGCAACTACTCAGCTTTGCCTTTGTAGCGAGAATGTGGCTATATAGATGTATGTAGGCAATGCTAAACAGATGGGTGTGGATGTGTTCCAATAAAACTTTATTGGGAAAAACAACAAGCTACATTTGGCCCAGGCATTTGCAGGACCATGATTTACAGGCACACTTTCCACAATATTATTTAAATAATCAGTAAATAATGTTTCTACTACTGTTTTCCACAGATTAACACTATGAATGATTTTAGCAAAGAATTGGTTCTTAAACAAAACTTTTGTTTTAGACAATAAGGTATTTCAGGACAGTTGCGTATTCTGTAAGTGATATTATTAGTGTGACTACAGCGTTGGTTTGCATTAATTTGAATGGAGTTAACTCTTTTTAGAGAAGGAAGATTTAAAAACTAGGTCTTTATGATACCAGTTTTGTAATATTAAAGCGAGGGATACCATGGTGTATCAGAGCTGTGACACAGCTGGTAGGTATTAGTGAAGAGGCAGAAACAAAGGGATAGAGTTATTAAAACCATTTCATGTAACTGGTCGAGTTCTGTTTTTTCCCTCCCAACTTTTAAGGCTTTTTGGTTATAGACCAAGAACCTTTTATCTTATTTAGAATAATGTACATACAAGTAGAATGTTTTTCTGGTTACATTTTGAAAACATTTCCACGTTGTTTGTTTCAGTATTTTAAAAACCCTATATGCTAGAAAAGAGAAAAAGGTTAACTTGATATTTACATTTTCTCATCTTCTATACACATTTAGATAAAGCCATCTTACCGTTCTGTGGTGGCTCTTCAGGAGGAGAAAGGTAAACCAGTGCACTGTGAACGACACCACGAGACCAGTTCAATCGACGCAGAACCTGGACTAGAAGATTCCAAAGAAGTAGTGAAGTGGACACGACTACCTGGGCAGGTGAAGTGCTTGATTATTCTCAATTCATTTAGAGATGCCCTTACTTATTTTAAAAGCTCCAACAGCTCTGAGGGTAATTAACTTGCTACTTGAAACTTTCAGATTATCCTTGCTTTTAACCACAATCTTGTCTTTCGGTTAATTTTTTTTTTTTTTTTTTTAAGATTTTATTTATTTGACAGAGAGAGACACAGCGAGAGAGGGAACACAAGCAGGGGGAGTGGGAGAGGGAGAAGCAGGCTTCCCGCGGAGCCGGGAGCCCGATGTGGGGCTCAATCCCAGGACCTTGGGACTATGACCTGAGCCGAAGGCAGGCGCTTAACGACTGAGCCACCCAGGCGCCCCAATCTTTCCGTTAATTTACTTGATAATTAATAGTAGAGTGTGTATCACATAAAAGCACTATCTTGGGTTCTTTGTTTGGGGACTTGGGTTTGTTTTATCAGTTGGCTGGAGCTGCCAGAAAGAAATACCGCAGACTGGATGGCTTAAATAGGAGCTTACTCCTTCATAGTTCTGGAGGCTGAAGTCCCAGGGTTAAGGGTTAGCAGGGTTGGTCTACTCTGAGGCCTTTCTTCTTGGCTGGCAGATGGCTGCCATCTTGCTCCTCTTCATGGTCTTTCCTCTGTGCCTGTAGATCCCTGGTGTCTCTTCCTCTTACAGGGACAGCAAATCTTATTAGGACACCACCCTAAAAAAAAGCTCTTTAAAGATTTTTACCTCCAAATACTGTTACATTCTGAGGTACTGGAGTTAGGGCTTCAACATATGAATTTTGGGGGACACAATTCAATCCATGATAGCAATAAAAAAACAGATTTTTGATGTTTTCAGAGGTTAATCTCTTAATGGGTTTTCTTAGTAAAATGGATTTTATTTAAAAATGGATCTTTTTAATGGATTCATGAGATTTTTTTTTCAGTCCCCAGCTTCTTCACAATGAATCACATTTTGATGAAAATATATACATGTATGGTTTTCTATCACAAGTTGAGGAGTATTTAAGCTTTTACTAATGTTTTCCTTCCTGGTTAGCATATTTTGCAGTAGCAAGAAGCATTGCTGTTAAGAGTTCTATAAATCTCTTACTTATTTCCACAAAGAGTAGAGTGGCTCATTTTATACATCTGAGCCATTTCCAGATGCAGTTTATGCAAAAATCTTAATTTATCCAAACATTCAGTATATACATAATAATAATTTTCTTAGACCTTTTTACATTATTTTGCATCACATTTGACCTTTTTGAGGCCAGTTTTACAGATATATCTTAAAGTCATTTTTAAGTACTTTGAACATAGTAACATGTAGAGAATAACACTTAGATTGTGCCCTTGGGGGACCTTCCACATCATTTGGGGAAGAAGGAAGTAGTTACAAAGTTGTTCACTGTCAAGTATACTGGAGAGAAGCCTTGAGGAAACACAGGCCTAAAAATAATTCCACAGATCAGCAGTTCTCAAAGTGTGATTTCGGAACTATTAGAAGACCTGAGACCCTTTCAGGGTGTCTGCAGAGTCAACTAATTTTTGTAATAGAATCATAATGATTCTAATTATTTCATTATGATTTAGTTTGTCTTTTTCACTTTCATTCTCTCAAGTATGCACTAGAGTTTTCCAGAGGCTAAGTGATATGTGATATCACAGGAGAGTGACTGCAGAAGCAATTATGAAAATCTGGCTATCTTTTATTAAGCCAGATATTAAAGAGATTTTCACAAGTGTGGAACAATTCTATTTTATGTAGTTATCTTTCATAAAAAGACTAATGTCTCTATGTTAACATTTAATAGGTTTGCTGTTTTTTCTAATGAATTAAGGAATGTTTTTTAAATTTCTCAGTTGTAATTTCTAATATGATAAGTATCTGTGGTTATATCCACATACAAGTTTTTTGGGGTCCTCAAAATTCTTTTAAGACTGTAAAGCCATCCTGAAATTAAAACAGTTTGAGAATTGCAGACATGAAGAAGGTGAACTGGAGTGGGGGAAGAAAGGTTCATTCCACAGGTTGATAGACTTTAAAGGCGGCCAAGTTAAGGGTGGGAGAAGAAGGACAGGCAAGGGTATTTCATATGCGGGCAAAGTTGTAAATACATGGGAATGGACCTGTTGTATTCATCAGGCACTCAAAAATTTGGCTGACTGGAAACCAGTTTGTGTAAGAGATAAAGTGGTATGATTGATTGGGCCCACATTGTGGAGTATCTTTAATGGTAGCCTAATAATTGTGTGGGTTGTGAGAACTAATGGAGAGTCTGGGTGGGAGGGGCGTGTGATAATAGTCAGATTTTAGAACACGTTAATACTGGCAGTGGCATGTTGGAGATCTTGAGGTGGGATACGTCAGGATGAGAGAAACTGACGAGATAGTAGCTGTAGTTATTAGTTGTGAGATGAAAAGGATCTAACCTTGGGATAATGATAGTAAAAATGAAAAGTAAGAGATGAATGCGAGAGAAAGATAGGATGAACAAGCACAATTTAATGACTGACAAGATAGTAAAGAAAGGGAAAGAGTCCAAGGTGTTGAGGACCTTTATTATTAAACGTTCACTGAGTGCCTGTTCTGAGTACAGTGTCAAACCCTGGGCATACAGAGAAGGTGGTGGTGGCTTCAGTGATTTCAGCTTAGGTGGTGAGGCAGAGTTTTCTTGCGTGCGCCCCCTGCTCTAGGAGCAGTGGCAAGTGCTTGTAAAAAGCTCCTGACTTTTCCTTCAGTTTTTCTCCTCTTTTTCTTTCCCTCTTCCTTTTCTCAGTCATCGGGGTGGAAAATGAAGGGAAAAGATGGGTAGCATGGTGTCCCATACCTTGTTGATATTATATAATAAATAATAATAATAAATATCTGTTGAGTATTTCACCATCCCAGTAGCTGCTTATAATGTTTCCTGCTAATAATGCTGCTGAATCTTGATGCTACTAGTAAAACACCTGGTCCCTGTCCAGAAAGCAGGCTCTTGAACTAAGAGTCTTTGACTAGGCCCAGTAAGCTGGGCTTGACCCTCTGAATAATCCTGATTACTTGTATGTAGAAATAATGGTTATTTACACAGTGCTGTGGCAAATATATGAAAAGACATTTGCAAGGAAGTACCACATTCATCGCATACAGTAAAGGACCAATATGTTTAATTGAACTTTTGAAATAATAAACCCAGGAACTAAGGCTCACTGAAGTTTGGAAGAGATAGAATTAGGATAAATAAAAGTAGTATTTTCTACAGTAGATACTATACATGGAAAGTTTTGGTTTCATCTGGTAACAGGAAATAAAAACATAAAAATTATGATGAAATTTTAATAAAATTAGTGAATGAGAAACCAACAGGAGGTGATTACTTTGAAAATACCTTTCAGAAAGCTACCACAGATGATGGTTATTTTAAGAGATAAAAAAGAGAGAGAAAATGAACATTCATACATCCCAGGCTTAAGCTAGGCCCTATAAGGCATTTATGGTCTCGGAACAAGTTTATGGCTCAGCAAAAATCACTTATTAGGCGCTGTCATGTAATAAGGATGTGATATGACATTTTTTTGTGTGTGGCAATATACACACACACATATATACACACACGCACACACACGCCATAGTGACAGGTTTAGAGTACCAGATAATGAAATTTTCTATTCATATTTTAGGTGAATTAAGTACTAGTTAGACATGGACTATAAATTGACTTTATGTTATGGAGACCTGATTCTCTCTTTAGGAAATAAAATAATTTACTATAGCTTTCCATCATTCTGTTTACTTTCCTCTTTCTTTGCATCACAGTAAAGGGACTTAAAAAAAAAAAAAAAAAAAAGCTCTACCACTGCAGTAATTGAATTAACAACTAGCCTTCATATTTTAATGTTTCTTAATTTATTTTTGTTAAATGTATGTTTTTTAGGCTTGCCGTATCCCAAACAAACACCTCTTCTCACTAAATGCAGGAGAAAGAGGATGTTTTTGTCTTGCTTTCTCTCATAATGGAAGAATATTAGCAACAGCCTGTGCCAGCCGGGATGGATATCCAATTATCTGTGAGTAATAATTCTGTCTGTTTAATGTGATTGAAGTCTATGTGGAAGACATTGTTTGGTTTTTAAAATTCATTGAAATATTAATTTGAGTAACCCCCAGTTTTTTAATAATAATTTTACAGTTTTCTGTAAAATATATGTTCAGAAGTAGAATGAGAATAATCAAATGAAGGATGGTAAGTTTATTTTTAAAACATGTAAGAGGATTTTTGTATTTTCTATTTTAAATATAGAAATTTAGAAACATGAAGGGATTCGTAAATCTCATGAGGCATATTAGCCCATTGTGGTCAGTTGATAGCAGTGGTAATTTAAATTATGAAAGCCCTCAAATTCCATATGCACTAGAACAGTGACAGCTAGCTCAGGAGCACCTAGCGAACCACTTCTCCTTATGGCAGCAAGGCAGCAGGGAGGCCCAAACCCACTTTCAAATTGCCTTTAAAAAAAGAAGAAAGCCATGTTAAAAAGAAAAATTTCTGTAGCTTTAAGTGAGCATTATCTGCTCTTCTAGACTGAGAGGCATTAAATACTTGCCCTTATTTCTTGTGTCAGCTTCCTTAGCAGGAAGTAGCCTGCTCCTCCTGGGCATCTGCCCTAAGCGGTATTTTTTTTTTTTTTTAAGATTTTATTTATTTATTTGACAGAGAGACAGCGAGAGAGGGAACACAAGCAGGGGGAGTGGGAGAGGGAGAAGCAAGCTTCCTGCCGAGCAGGGAGACCGATGCGGGACTCGATCCCAGGATGCTAAGATGCTAGGATCGTGACTGGAGCCGAAGGCAGAGGCTTAACGACTGAGCCACCCACGCGCCCCAGCACTAGGTGGTATTAAACTTCCCTCAGCCTCACACAGGTTATTTCAGGTGATTTACTCTTTTAAGCAAGGACTCATAATTGGCTTGCTTAGCACTTATTAAATAAATATTCCTCCTCATGAAATAATGTTAGCTTTAAAAAACACTAAATTTGTAGTTTGATTACAGCCATGCTATTTTAAAAATTCACCGAAACCTATGCATGGAGGAAAAAAGATTCTTAGGAGACATACTGCATAGTATTAATAGTGATTTCTTTCTTTTGGGTAGTGAAAGAATTATTTTCATTCTGATTTATATTTTTAGCATTTCAGTGATAAATATATATTACTTTATGCTTAAAGAAATCTTGTTCAAAATGCTATATAAATTTAGACATACTTAATACTTAAGTCTCAAAGCACAGAGGAAGAATTTTTGTCTTTGGTTTCTGATTGTTGGGCTATGATGTGTCTGCTTGGAATTCGTTTAGCTTGTTGGATGTGTAGATTGCTATTTTTCACAAAATCAGGAAATTTTCAGTCTTTGTTTCTTCAAATTGTTCTCCTTTCTATTTTTTCTCTTCTGAGACTCTCATCATCTCTTTGTACACTTGGTGGTGTCCCACAGGTCCCTGCAGCTTTTTTCAGTTTTCTTCATTCTTTTTCTTTCTGTTCCTCAGGCGGCATAATCTCAAATGACCTGTCTTCAAGTTGAGTCTTCTGCCAGTTCAGATCTGTTAGTGAGCCCCCCTGGTGAATTGTTTATTTCCATTATTATATTTTTCAACTCTAGAATTTTGACGTTCTTTTTTTTTAAATAATTTCTGTCTCTTTATTGATACTATTTTTTGGCGAGAAATTATTCTCACACCTTAATTCTTTAGACATGGTTTCCTTTATATCTTTGAACATATTTATAAGAGTGGATTTAAAGTCTTTGTCTAGAACAGCATCTTGGCTCCCTTCTGGGCATTCTGTGGACTGCCTGGTTTCCTGTGTACGGCTCTACTTGACTGTTTTGGTTTTTTCATATCTCCATATTAACGTGTGTGGCAGGTCTGGAAATCGGATTCCTCTTCTTCCCCCTCCTTTGTACCTAACCACTCAGGATTTGCTGTTGCTGTAGTCTCTGCTCAGTTAGCTTGGTGGTCAGCTATGGTAGAGATTTTTAAATGCCTTGAGTGAGTAGATCGCCCAGCCTTTATCAAGCCGATCTGTGTGTGTTGGGATGCGCTCTTAACACCTCATGGCAGGCAATCTGCAACTCTGCCTTAGCCTGCACTTTCAGGTCAGTGAGAGTGAGAGAGGGCCTCTGGTCTTTTGTTCACATACCTGTGTCCTGCTAGGTTTCCAGGAATTTGTTGGATCTTTTCAAAGTCCCCTCTGGACATCTCATTCCCAGTTTTTTCCTTTTATGTTTTTTGCTCAGCCTCTCCTTAGCCTCAGTTGGTATCACTGCCTCATATAGTTGTGCCACTGATTATTTCAGCATGCACCCTGGGGTTAGGGTTCTTCACACAGAGCATGCTCTGAGCCAAGTCAAGTAAACCAAGCCCTGAGAATGGAGCCTTTTAGGGAACTGCCAGACTATCTTAATAGTGATAAGTATTGGGGATGGGGCTTTGGGGGAGCTTTTTACGTCTTCTGGCCCATCCCATGGCTGCTAGGCAGCCGGCTTTAAGTTGTGAGGCTGTTGGTTTCTAAAGCTACTGGGGAGCTTGGGAGAGGGAAATGGGAACATGGCAAGTTAAAATACCACAAAGCTCATGTTCTTACCAAGATTAAGCTCTTTTTCTGGAGTAAATGCTCCTCAGATTGTTGCAAGCCTTTGTTTAATTTGTAGAGTTCTGAAAAATTAATTTGGATAATTTTTGCAGTGTTCTCATTGCTTTTATCAGGGAGCAGATATTCTTTTTTTTTTTTTTTTTAATAGGAAGGACTTTTATTTTTTATTTTTATTTTTTTCCCTTTTTTTTGCCTGGAATTTTATTTCTTTTTTTTTTTTAATTATGTTAATCACCATACATTACATCATTAGTTTTTGATGTAGTGTTCCATGATTCATTGTTTGCATATAACACCCAGTGCGCCATGCAGAACGTGCCCTCTTTAATACCTATCACCAGGCTAACCCATCCCTCTACCCCCCTCCCCTCTAGAACCCTCAGTTTGTTTTTCAGAGTCCATAGTCTCTCATGGTTCGTCTCCCCCCTCTGATTTCCCACCCTTCATTCTTCTCCTCCTGCTATCTTCTTCTTTTTTTTTTTTTTAACATATAATGTGTTATTTGTTTCAGAGGTACAGATCTGTGGGAGCAGATATTCTGAAGTCCTTTGCTATTCCAGAAGTACTTGTGTACTGCTTAGTATTTTAAAAGGCATTCGGTTTTACCACTAGGTGGAAGTAGAGTCTTGCAGACTTTGTTGTTCTGAATTAAGTCACTATCTTCGAAGATTTCATTGTGAACCTAACTTATAGCAATACTGCAGTGCCTTGTTTATCACATTGGGTCTCTGTTAATTCTCATATTATATCATTTTAACATTAGAATTTTTTTCTAACAAGGGGTGCCTGAGTGGCTCAGCTGGTTATGCATCTTCATGATCCAGGTCATGATCCCAGAGTCCTGACTGCATTGGGCTCCCTGCTCAGCAGGGAGTCTGCTTCTCCCTCTCCCTTTGCCCTTTCCCTCAGCTGGCGCTCACTCTCACTCTCCCAAGTAAATAAATAAAATCTTTTTTTTAAAAAAGAATTCTAACAATAGCACAGTTTAAATTTCTTCTTACTTTAAATGGTTAAAATTTTGGTTGGAATTTAATTGATTTTCGGGTAAAGTAATATCTTATTCATGAAGGCCCAAATTATAGAATCTTCGAAGTGAATGGTAATTTAAATGCTATTTATTGGGGCGCCTGGGTGGCTCAGATGGTTAAGCGTCTGCCTTTGGCTCAGGTCATGATCCTGGAGTCCCAGGATCGAGTCCCGCATCGGGCTCCCTGCTCAGCGGGAAGTCTGCTTCTCCATCTCCCTCTGCCTGCCGCTCCCCCTGCTTGTGCTCTCTCTCACTCTCTCTCTCTCCCTGTCAAATAAATAAATAAAATCTTGAAAAAAAAAATAAATGTTATTTATTATTTGATTAATAAATTGTCAAAGATTATTGGGAAAATTGCCTTGAAGAGATGAGAGTAATTGTAGCATATTAAAAAATTTTATATGTGTAAATTCTTGTGTCTGAAGGAAACGAAAAACTATTTTTAGGTAGACTTTGAGATTTTTTATGCTGAAAATACCTTTGGTGATAATATTCTTAGAGACTGTGTGCAAATTATTTTAAGCTATATATTTGTATATTACTGGATTAAGGACTCTCTGGCTGGAAACCTACTAATTTTTTAATATTTTATCTTTAGTATACGAAATTCCTTCTGGGCGTTTCATGAGAGAATTGTGTGGCCACCTCAATATCATTTATGATCTTTGCTGGTCAGACGATGATCACTATATCCTTACTGCATCATCTGATGGCACTGCCAGGTTAGTACACTCGAGAAGTACTTACTGTGTATGTTGTTTGCCATCAAGGAAAGCAAAGAGAATATAGAGTGATAGAACTCTTCTTATGCTTCAGTAATATTTTTGCTTATTAAGGGACTGTCATAGAGATGCATCATACAGACTGACTGATTAGATCAGTAGTAGTGGGAAAACTTTTTCCTAAAGATGTTTTTATTAAATATATTTTATTTATGTAATACGTAAAGCTTCTAGTTCTCACAGTGTCCTTAAATGATCATTATGTACACTGATTAATACTGTACACTGTTTGACATAAGGTGAACAGTTGATATTTTTTCCTAGAATATAAGCTTTTAATGGTAGGGCTTCTGTCTTCCCTGTTAGCTGTGGGCAGGGGCCAGGCCTCAGTGATGCACAGTGCATCATAGACAGCAAGGAACAGAAACCTTGCCTAAGACGAAATGGTATAAGGGGAAGAATAGCTATTAATTTATATGGAAAAATTTTTGAGTGTTCTCAGACCCCAAAAATAACCTCTCTCGGAGTTTTCGGATACCTTGGGAACATCTTGCTCTAAGGGATGCACAGAATCAATTGAGATAAAGCACAGATGTTGGGAGACAGAGTTCAGAGCTGTGGCAGCTTGACGTGGAGCAGCTGAATGTAGTGCACCCCCCTTCGCTGCTGGGGCTGTGCGCTCCCTCTGTGAGGGCTCACGGCAGAACAAGTGCTGAACCCGATTTTTGCTTTTCTCCTTTTCTCATTAAAGCAAAAATCCTCTTCAGATTTCTTCTGGTTAGTGAAAACAGGTGCTGACATAGGTCTTAGGTAAAAGCAAAGTGGTGTAATGCAGACTTTGAAAAGCAGGGGATACCGACCTGTTAAGTGAATATGTACCTTATGTTTTAAGAGTTTTATAGATTGTCAATATTGCATTTTTCAGAATGTCAGTTATAAAATAATTGAACCCTTTCCAACTTAATAAGTATCATAATAAAATTTTTTAAAGCTACTTTGTAAAATTTCCTTGACACTGTTTTAGCTGCTTGTTCTACCTTGTGTGTATTCTAAATGTATTACTAGGCAGTTTTTCAAGATGCTTTATATTATATATGTCATTTAATTTGATTCCAACAAATGTAGGTGGATACACATAAATCTTTTTTGATCTCTGTACACCAGGAAGCTGATATTTAGAGCAGTTTGGCATGCCCTCTTATTTACTTCTGCTTCCTGCTTTTTTAAGACACCTCTAGTGTCTGAGTCCTTTCTATTAATCTTATCAGCTTCCTTTTTAATATAAAATGTCTAGTTAAGATGTTATCATTACTGTTTAGTATTTAAATGCAAAAGATGGTGAGACTTGATTTCCTTCCCTGTGTAGCTGGGCACCTGCTGTTAGTCTCTCTTAATAGGATCCTTCAGAACCTCTGGTCTGGGGGCACCTGGGTGGCTCAGTCGGTTAAGCGTCTGCCTTCGGCTCAGGTCATGATCCCGGGGTCCTGGGATCGAGCCCTGCATCAGGCTCCCTGCTCGGCGGGAAGCCTGCTTCTCCCTCTCCCACTCCTCTGCTTGTGTTCTCTCTCTCGCCGTCTCTCTCTGTCAAATAAATAAATAAAATCTTAAAAAAAAAAAAAAAAAGAACCTCTGGTCTGTTTGTTCTCTAAACAAAGCCATTCTGTCTGATGCCCAGTTGCACTAGAGAAAAATTCATAACCTTGCAAAGGCCTGACTGTGGATTTGTAAGTCTTAAAATCACCTGAGCTCTCATCTCAGCTGAGCAAGCCTTTTCCTTATCTTTATTATGCAGCTATCTTTTCTTACTCCTCTGGTAGCACATCCAAGCCTTATGGCACTTCGAGTTCTCTACACGGAGTCACATCTTCCCGCTTTCATTAGCTGACTGCCTTCAACTTACAGTGAAATTATGCCAGACATGAACTTTCTGTATCTGCCTCTGGTTTCCCACCCAATATCTATAAATGTACCCATCTTTATCTCTGTCCGCTGCTCTTAACAAATATGTATGGGTAAAGACACCTTTCCGGCCACTCTCTGACATGTGCTTTTAATCTCAGTCCTTCAATCTACAATTCTGTTTTCCTACCTCTCTTGTCTCTTCAATATCTTCCTTTCTATTGATTTTGTCCTCTCATCTTAAAAATATGCTCAGTTCTCCTTATCTTAAGAAATATTTTCCTCAGTTCTTCCTGCTCTCCAGACTACCACATTATTTTTCTTTCTACAACATCAAGAACATTCTGCACATGTTGTCTTCAGCTCAGCCCAGTGAATCTGGCTCTTACTCCCACCCTGCTAGATCAGCCTTCTTTACGAGGTCAGCAGTTTCTTGCTGATTTTCAGATCCAGTGGCCAGTTTGGGTCCTTACCCTGTTTGCTTTCACTGCAGTAATTAATTATTGACCAGTTTTAAAATATTTCCAACTAATGGTTTCATTAACAGTCTCTTCTGTTTGCTTTTTATGACTCTGGCCAGTTCTTTTTCCCTGTCTCTCATCCCTCTTCCTCTGTCTATTCTCTATAGATGTTCATTCCCAGAATCCTCCTGCTTGAGCATCTTCTCTGGTTTGCTGTGCTCCTCCTGGTCTTTCTCATCTTCGCCAGCTTTGACTCTCACTTCTATAGGCTGACTCCCACTTTTTTTCTGAGTTTCACTTCCTGTTATTCTGTCTGGACTGCCAGTGGCACCTCAGATCCAAAACCAGGCTTGCTGATCTCACCAAACTGCTTTCCTCTTTTAGCTCTCTTGTGGATTTTTTAATGGCATCCACCCTGTCTCCCGAGCCAGGAACCCAGAGTAGCACCCATTTCTTTTTTTCTTCCCACCGTTCCTTCCCATATCCAAGCAGTACTGTAGTCTGTCAATTTGCCCTCCTAAAAGGCTCACCATTCTATCACACCCTTTCCATCCTCACTGCTGTTACCTTCATTCAGGCCCTTGCTGTCTATCTCTTGCTTAAACTGTTGGTGTTAAACTTTCCCACTGCTCAGTCTCTTATTCTTCCATCTTACCACAACCCTCTTTCATAATGCCCTGATTTTCAAAAGTCTTTGATTCCCACAGCCCTTTTGAAAATGTTCCAGCTCCATAGCATGGCCTAACAGGCACATTTCTCATTGACCCTACATCCTTCTCCTGTGCACTACCATATACCCTCGGCCTCACCCACACAATCTTTTGAAATGCTCTTGGCATCTTACCCTGTTTGGTATCTCCATGCCTCCTCTTCCTGTGCTTAAGTGCCCTTTTCCTAGCCTTTCTGCCCAACTCAGTCACTCAGCAAACATTTAAGTGCCGTTTGTGAGCCGCTTTGGGCTCATAGTCATCATTTAAAACCCAGCTCAGATTTAACCATTTCTTGAAGTCTCTTGGAGTTTTCCACACAGCATATAATATATTTTAGTAAAGTATACTTTTTTCTTTATGTAGCTTTGATACTGATTGAGGGCTCTTTATATCATAAAAATATTTATTGTGTAGGATTAACTGAGTGAAGAGAGAAACATTGTGGCTAGAACCAAAAAGAGTGAGGTTTTTGAAAGAGGTGTAGGGACTACTTAAAATGAATAAGCTAAAGTCAAAGGAGGAGAATTAGAATTGCTAATGCTCTGAGTGGCAGAGGCATGAGCCTCTGGCCCCGTCTTCTCCTTCTGTCTTCCTGGTTAGTGTTAGTGGCTCCTTAGTAACTGTTTCCCACTGGTTAGCTCTTTGCCATGTGGGGTTAACTGAAATCTTCTTTAGTTATCTTCAGTACAATCTGTGTTTTTCTCTAACCAACAGCTCCTCATATAATCAGACTTTTTCGGCATGTAATGGCTCCCAGTTAGGCGCATATGTCCCCATGTTGCCCCTCATCGCACATACTGTTGTAACTGCATCTTTTTTCTTTCCCAATTCTAATAATTTTTGTGTGTGCTCATCTAGTCTTTACAGATTTGTGTATTTCCTTGTTCTTTGTAATCAGCCTGTTTTTTTCCCCAAACTCATTAATACATTTATTTTGTTCTTGGACTCGACTGTTGCTTGCTTGACTAAAACCCATCATTGATACCAGTTAGGTCTTTACATAAAAGTCTTCATTTTTATTTTATTTTATTTTTTAAAGATTTTATTTATTTGACAGAGAGAGCGAGAGAGCACAAGCAGGGGGAACAGTAGAGGGAGAGGCAGAAGCAGGCTCCCTGCAGAGCAGGGAACCCGATGCAGGGCTCGATCCCAGGACCCTGGGACCATGACCTGAGCTGAAGGCAGACGCTTAACCATCTGAGCCACCCAGGCGCCCCAGTCTTCATTTTTATTTTAAAATACTGTGTCTATTTTAATTGAGCTGCTTTTAAGATATGATTGTTTCATTTCTGCCTGTTATATAGTATTTCAAATAATACTGCTAAGATTTTTAAGCAAGCAAATGAAGTTTTTATCTTTTAAACAATCTTATTTTAATGATCTTAATCACAAATTAGTGATTTTGTTCTTTCAGTAAGTACTGTATTTCATGTAGCATATATTCATTGAAAGTATTACCATGGTAAAAATGTTTATGCACGGACACACGTGCTTTATTTTCACTTGAAAACATGTTCTTTCACTTCCTCCATTATTAGTTTGGATTCTTAGTAATTGAAGATCATATCCTGTATTTGAAGCAGCTGCTGAGAAAACTCACAGAATGTTATTCTTTTTTTTTTTTTTTTAAAGATTTTATTTATTTATTTGAGAGAGAGAGAATGAGAGACAGAGAGCACGAGAGGGAAGAGGGCAGAGGGAGAAGCAGACCCCCCACTGAGCAGGGAGCCTGATGCGGGACTCGATCCCGGGACTCCAGGATCATGACCTGAGCCGAAGGCAGTCGCTTAACCAACTGAGCCACCCAGGCGCCCCACAGAATGTTATTCTTGAATGGCAACTGTATTTTTTTCTTTCATCCAGAATTTTGAAAAGGACTTAATTTGCTTTAGTTCTTAGGTCATAATTAAAAGAATGAACTATAAATCCCCCTATTAAAAATTAATATATTTTGGGGCGCCTGGGTGGCTCAGTTGGTTAAGCGACTGCCTTCGTTAGGCAGTCGTTAGGCATCTGCCTTCGGCTCAGGTCATGATCCCAGGGTCCTAGGATCAAGCCCCGCATCGGGCTCCCTGCTCCGCGGGAGGCCTGCTTCTCCATCTCCCACTCCCCCTGCTTGTGTTCCCTCTCTCGCTGTGTCTCTCTCTGTCAAATAAATAAATAAAAATCTTTAAAAAAAATTAATATATTTTTCTAATTTTAATAATTTAATCAAACTGTTTAAAATCCAGTGTTCCATACTCATTTAGCACCTTTCTGTTGCTAGATTTTGCCTATTTTTACACTGACTAGAAATGCAGAGTATCTAACATAACAGTTTTACCCCTTAGGGTTTATTCTTGTCAAGACTGAAGCAATGACAGTAATACTGCTTTTTAAAAATTGTTATTTAGAGGAAGAGATAGTAAAAGTGTTGAACATAAATTGGGTGTTTAATGTAAGACAGTCTGTTTTCTATCAAAATACAGTTATTTTAATCCTATTTTACTCAGGTATCATACAGTAATTTCAATATGGCTTTTAAGACTTTGGGTTCACGGTCATTTATCTAGGCTTGGAAATTACAAATACAAAGTTAAGGGCGCCTGGGTGGCTCAGATGGTTAAGCGTCTGCCTTTGGCTTGGGTCATGGTCTCAGGGTCCTGGGATCGAGTCCCGCATCGGGCTCCCTCCTCCTTGGGAGCCTGCTTCTCCCTCTGCCTCTCTCTCTCTGTCTCTAATGAATAAATAAATAAAATCTTAAAAAAAAAAAAAAAAAGCCTTCATTCAAAAAAAAAAAAACAAATACAAAGTTAATAGATATCCTGTTCCTCTAAACCTCTACTAGTGAGCACTTTGCAAAAGCAGTATACACAACCTGAATGGGGAATAATTAAAGCTCTCCCCCCCCATGTTGTATTTTTTGTGGTAATGTACTAAATGCAGTATGTTACCAACTATTCCATGTGTGTTTAATCAATGTCAAAATAGGTTTTTAAAAAAACATATCCAAATATAATTTTTCATTTTACAATATAGATTAAAATTAGACAAATTAACCATTATGCTTGATAATAACTAAGAAATAGCTTTGTCAAAATGTAAAGAACCCCAGCCATCAAATACTTGATCACATTATTTTTGATTGTTATAAGATGTAGTTTACCATTGGTTATTGTCGTTGCTTACTTAAATTCCATTGGCTGTGTTGGTTTTTAGAGAAAGTTTTAGAAACTTCTGCCTTTCAGAAGCAATATATAACTTTTTATCCTTTCCCAGGATATGGAAAAATGAAATAAATAATACCAATACTTTCAGAGTTTTACCTCATCCTTCTTTTGTTTACACGGCTAAATTCCATCCTGCTGTAAAAGAACTGGTGGTTACAGGCTGCTATGATTCTGTGATACGGATATGGAAGATTGATATGAGAGAGGATCCTGCCATATTGATCCGACAGTTTGACACGCACAGGAGTTTCATCAACTCTCTCTGTTTTGATATTGAAGGTATGTCAGAATATATTCCAAAAGAAGGCTAGATGCATGAGGAATTTTTAAAAATAATTTTTGTTCACTAAGATAATTTTTTTAAGCTTGAAAAGGATTTTGTGTGTTGATGATTGTACATTTTTGGATTTATGTGCATTTTGCAGATCATATAGTAGACCTGGACACAGATTTAGCAGTGAGGGAGTTTTGTTTGTAATTTTAAAGTCATTAAATTCTGGGGGTGCCTAAGTGGCTCAGTCAGTTAAGCGTCCGACTCTTGATTTCGGCTCAGGTCGTGATCTCAAGGTCATGAGATTGAGCCCCATGTTGGGCTCTGTGCTCAGCATGGAGTCTGCTTGTCCATCTCTCTCTGCTCCTCCCGCTGCACGTGTTCTCTCTCTCTCAGATTAGTAAAATCTTGTTAAGAAATCATTTAAGTCATTAAATTCTTAAATGTTTAGATTCAACTAATCTTTGCTGTAACAACCAGTCATACCAAATTTCATAAATATATTTCATTGGATTGGTGATTACCCCCTCAGTAAGCTTCTTTTTTTTTTTTCCCCAGTAGGTTTCTTTTAAGTGGCTTTTCAGTTAAAGGGTTAAAATGAGGAAGAAGAGGGAAATACCAAAAGAATATTAGGTAGATAGCGGGGGAAACCTGTATTTACACCATATACTGTGTACATTGTGCACTCAGCACCTCTGCATTTAGCTAACAGTTAATAGGTATGTATTATATAGTTGTCTGAATGTATCTTAAGAAACATTCTATTGTTGGCAGTACTTAGGATGTTTCCAGCTTTCTCCTACCATCAACATGATTTCTGTGAATAGTATAGATACACACATACACATGCATACATATATGTATATACAAAACTTCGTTGCACTGTTTTATAATTATTTTCTTAATATAAATTCCCAAACCTGAGGTTGCTGAGTCAAACATTTCTGGAGTCCTTGCTATGTGCTGTAATGTTTTAAGTACTTTACATGTATAAACTAATTTTTTCCCCACAAACCTTTATGAGAATGGTATATAGTCACATTTACATTATTTCAGACACTGATATGTAGACTACAGCTATAATTAATTAGTATAGGAACCAGATCAAAATGACAATACTGCTAATATATTCAGTTTAACTACAAAGATGTTAAGAAATTGGAACACATTTAGGAAAAGTCAACCAAGGATAGAAAGGTGTCTGCAAACTTTGTCATAGTAGAAGTAGCTCAGATTATAAAAGACATGAATTTCTTCAAATACTTGACTAAGATATCCATATGTGAAACAAAAAGAAATCAGACTGTGATGCTTCAGTAGGTAGAGATGGGACCAAAGCTACCAAAGACAGGAATTCTTTGTTCAGAATTGGAAAGAACATTCTAGTATATAGAGCAGTTCATCAGTTGAATAGCTGCTTTGTAAAATATTAAGTTCACAGTTGCTGAACAACCATCTGTTCATGATGGTGTGGAAGATATATCTGAGTGAGTATAAAGTTGAATTTGATGATCTCTGAGGTCCCATTCAACTATAAGATGGTTTGACTCTAAGAATATATGTTAAACTGGAATACCTGTCATTTATCATTTTATTCATTCCCTGATTGTTTATTGAGTTTCTACTGGTCTCAGGCATTTTGCTAACAGTATATATTAGAATATAGGTGTTTTTCCAGGAATATAAAACAGATGATATAGGTTAATAAAGGTGAGCATTATAGATATGTATTGGATAATTCAGATGATTTGTTTGGCTGTAGAATTTGGACCATATACAAATGCAATGAGATGCTCATTTCTTTGTGTATTCAATTTCCTGTAAGTGACAAAAGGGAAATACGTCATCCAAAGTAATTCACAAGGGTGAAGAATTCATTTAAAGATACTTGCGATTTGACTACGAGTTGTATTTGGGTTTTTATTTACTTCTTTTTTCTCTTTTTACTAAACTACTGTTTAATAGCCCTCTGATTCTTTGTTATACTGGGATGTGTTTTCCCAGTTTCATTTTGTTTCTGCCTGTGTGTAGTATTCGTAAGTGAGTGATTTTATTTTTTTTAAATAGGTCATCACATGTATTCAGGAGATTGCACTGGGGTGATTGTTGTTTGGAATACCTATGTCAAAGTTAATGATGTGCAACATTCAGTGCGCCACTGGACTATAAATAAGGTATAAAATCATATTTCCTACTTGGGGTTTAATTTAAAAAATTAGAAAAAAATTGAACCACATGACTTTAGAAATAAGGCATCAGGACATTCTTTCTCTCTTCTGAAAAAAATTAAGTTTTTCTCAGTCCCTACAAAGTCAGTTATCATTGACTAATTATCTAGTCTTCCTGATGGCTAATTGATGATATAGCAACTTAGTGAAAATTTTCATTTTGGCCAAACTTGATCTTTGAACCCCTAATTTGTGATATGGCATTCAGTGATCCATTATGGGAATTATGCTAAAATTAGGCACATGTTATATTACCATCTATAAGTAATAACTTCTGCTTTCTGCTATTCATTTTCTTTTTTGACCCCATAACATCACTCTAAAAACAGTGTGCTCAATGTTTTGTTAACAGTGTTGTCTTTTACAATTATGTAATCAAAAGTATGTAATTATGAGCAGGGTCTGTCATTTACTCACAATAATTGTTTTCATTTGAATTTTGCCAAGTAGGCAGAAACGAATGATCTTTCATTTTGGGAGTAGAGTGTTTTTAGGGTGGCTGGTATATTAAGCAATTTTACTGGTGCATATTCAGTATTTTTACTTAAAGATACAAAATGAATTATTAAACCTGAGTTTGTTTTATATAAGTTGATATAGTTTGTCTTGTATACTATACTTTTGTTCTTCAATTTTTTGTTCTTCTATTATAACAGTTGTTCTCATTTGAAAAAAAGACACTCTAAGTGAAAAAGAATTTTTATGAACTTTAGTTTAATCTGTTGAATCTATCAGATCTATTTTAAAAACTGTTTATTCTATTTTTCGTCATGTTCATCTAGTCTATAGATTAATGATTGATGGCTTGGGATTCATGTGGTAGCCTAATTTCACACACTTTGAAAAGAACTTTCTAATTACTTATATACCTACAAAAGTCCAAAGGCATATTTTCCAGTAATTTGAGTGTACAGTGCAGAGTCTACTATTTATGTTAAAAATCATGTGTTTCTTTACCTTAATATAGTAACTAAAAGGCAAATTTATCTTCCAAATCTGCAGCCTAGAGGTGACTCGAGACAGTCCAAAATAAAAAGTTAGAAAATGAGCTGGAATATCTTTTGGTAGCTAAGGCCCTAGGACAAACTGTAGACCCTGACTTCTTACCTGGTTCTCTTCAGGCAGCAGTGTGAGGAATGCTAAATTGTATTCATCTGTCCCTTAAGATGACGTGTCCATGTGCTGTGCGTGGCACACACTCCTTGGCATGGGGAATGGGCTTCAAAACTAGGGCTTTTTTTGGTTTGAGTATGAATATGGTGAGAAAAAATAGAGAGGAAATCACTAACAGATCCCAGAAATGCTAAATCTCCTGGCACTCTTGTCAAATTCATGCCTAACACTTAACTTGTTAGACAGTTTTGTGTTTTTTGATTTTGCACAATTGCATCTGTGTGAGTGCTGCTCAGACCCCCAACAGTGCGTCCCCACCCCCAAATTGTTATAGTGCAGTCACTGTACCCCCATCTGTGCTGTCAGTGTTTGTCTTTTTTCGGTAACTTTTACAAAGCAGCTAACAGTAGGCCTTCCTGTCAGCGGTAGCCTGGGCTTAGCTGCTGAGACTCGGATTGTAGCAGTTTGGACTGCACCTCTGCTGGTGCCAAACCGCCTCCCAAGAGGAGACCTCAGAGAAGGAGACAAAACATACTAGCGGGTCCTCGAAGGAAGGGAAGGCTAATTCAGAATTCTGCCTGAAAGTTAAAGCAGACTTTCTTCGGACCCTCTGGACTTCAGTCTAAGCAGTTTTGTATTTGCAGGTTTTTTTCTTTTTTCTAGTAATCCACACAAGAAGGACCTTTGGTAGTTTTTCCTTTGTGAGGCTCATCCAGGCAGATTTTTCTTCAGTATGTAGGTCTTTCTTGACATCATTTATCAGGCTGCCTTAAATAACTATCAAAAAAAAAAAATCCTGGAGGCTCAGTGCCCTTAAGATTCAATTCCACCTGTAACCTACCGCTGTGGCCGAAGAAGCCATTGCTGCTGGAGGTGTAATGGTCATTAATACTGCTTTACACGAGGTGCTGAAGACTGCCCGCATCCACCATGGCCTAGCACGTGGAATTCGCAAAGCTGTCAAAGCCTTAGACAAGTGCCAAGCCCGTCTTTGCATGCTTGCATCCAGCTCTGATGAGCCTATGTATGTCAAGTTGGTGGAGACCCTTGTGCTGAACACCAAATCAACCTAATTAAAGTTGATGACAAGAAACTAGGGGAATGGGTAGGCCTCTGTAAAACTGACAGAGGGGGGAGAACCCCATCAAGTCGTTGGTTGCAGTTGTGTGGTGGTTAAAGACTATGGCAAAGTCTCAGGCCAAGGATGTCATCGAGGAATACTTCCAGTGCAAGAAATGAACAAATAAAACACTGATTCTTGTTCCTCAAAAAAAAAAAAATCCCTAAAATTGCAATCTAAATTAAATGATCTCAGAATAAGATGCCAGTAACTTATCTTTTTCAGGACAAAGTAGAAGTAAGTGCATAAAGAAATCATCTCAGACTGAAATAGAACTTGAAAGTTAATTCTATACTAACTTCTGAAGTCGTAAAAATTAGAAGTTTTTCATGTATGATGGTAAGCAAAAAAATACAAAGTTAGAAGTTGTGTTTTAGGAAGTGCTTATTTGGGAATACACTACAAAAATGCTAACTAAATGTGGCATTACATAACAGTCAAAAAATACATACTATCAGCTTTATTTTCAGCCTATAACTGAAGTTACTGGGAATCCTTTCGCTAACCATTTTAAAGGATCCTTTAAATTGCAATCGAAAATGACTTAATTTTGTGCTCTAAAAGGGGCTTCATATTAGACAAACTGTATAGTGATAATATTTTATAATCTTTTTTAATCATTTTAGGAAATTAAAGAGAGTGAGTTTAAGGGAATTCCCATAAGTTATTTGGAGGTTCATCCCAATGGAAAACGATTGTTAATCCATACCAAAGACAGTACTTTGAGAATTATGGATCTCCGAATGTAAGTATATTTCAGTATTGACAGGTTTAGCACTCACAGAATAAGAAATGAATTAATTCATACTTATAAAATGCAGCTGTGCTTCTCATGTAGCTAGTTTTTCCCCTCAGAGGACATCTTACAGTGTCTAGAGGCATTTTTGAATGTTAGTATTTAGTGGATAGAGACCAGAGATCCTACTAAGCATCCTACAGTTTATGAGACACCCCCCCCACAACAAAGAATTTTCTGGCTCAAAATGTAAATAGTTCTGAAGCTGAAATGTAGTCAGTTGCTTTTTGTTGTCACACTTAAAAAAAAAAAAAAAGAGCAAACCTCTGCCTTAGAATATCTTTTATTTCTATGACATTGGTATAGCATAGTACTACGATATAATACTGTAACAGAATGAGACAGCTTTTGATTAATTTATCCTTGTTTTTCCTATTTTGTTTTATTTCTAAATAAGGAAAGGAAATTTCCTTAATGTAAAAAACAGAAGCAGAGTTCTGGAAAAATCAGCATAGTATTCTGATGTACTTTTGGTGTTAAGCATACCAATACAACAAATGAGAACTCTAGTTTTATTAGATTTCATTATTGTGTTTAGAAAGGAAAATGTGATCTATACTAGTTTATTTTGCAATTATCTTGTAGGGCTAACTGTTAAGGCCTTCAGTGTTTATGTAGAGCTTTTCAGGATACGGGCATCAGTACTATGGGAAAATGATTAGCAGAGTAGTTCATCAGAAGTTTATAATCTAGTTACAGTGCCTCCAGAATAACACAAAACATTTAATTAGGCTAAAATGTGAGATCTTCTAGGACTGGAATCTGCTTATTCTTCTTTTATACATAGTACTCATGTCATGCTTGAGAGATAGCAAGTACTTGATATGTATTATTTTAGTGACTGTAAGTACTTCAAAGGATTATATCTTTCATGGCAGCAGGTAATTGTAAGGATGGCTGTACTACAGCCTTGTGTTAAAGGTTCTATGCAGAGGCTGGCCTTTGAGCTCAATCTTAAAGGATGGATAGAATTTAGACAAGATAGAAGTTTGTCAGGAGGGTGGAAAACCTGAAAAGCCTGGAATAAAATTCAGAGGAAGGATAATAGAAGTTGTGATCAAGGCAGCGTGAGTAAGTCTGTAGAACATTAATTTCTTGATAGGGAGTGCTGAGAAAAAAATTTTTCAGAAATAGAGATTAGTGCCAGGTTTTAGAAGGCCAGGCCTAAAGAATTTGGTTATTCTCTTTTTAAGTAGTGTATAGTATTCAGCTTAGAATCCTGCATGGGCCCTAGAGGCTAACTGCTTAGAGTCAAATAATACCTTTTCCATCCCTGACCAACAATCAGATTAACCATTCTGAGCCTCTCTTTCCTCCTCACTCAAATGGGTAAATAATATACCATATTCATAAGGGTTTGTGGGGAATAAATTAGTTTACACATGTAAAGTACTTAAAGCATTACACCATATAGCAAGGACTCCAGAAACGTTTGAGCCAGTGACCTCAGGTCTGGGAATTTATGTGAAAATAATTATAAAACAGCAAAAATATATATATACACAAGATTGTTCTTAGATATCATGTTCATGGTAAGGGAAAGCTAGAAACATCCTAACTGTTGTCCCACAATAGAAGATTTCTTAAGGTATGTTTAGACAGTGATATAATATATACCTTTACTAAAAGGAATACATAATGTGTATTTTCTGACACAGAGGGCCATTATTCATGATTTATTGTTAAATGGGAAAAAAAAAAAGCATATAATGGGACACTGTATGTAATGTCCTCTCTGTAAACCAGGGATGATAATAGTATTTACCTGACACATAGTGAGCACTAAAATAATGTTAGCTATTGGGGCACCTGGGTAGCTCAGTTGGTTAAGCATCTGCCTTCAGCTCAGGTCATGATCCTGGGGTCTTGGAATTGAGCCCCAAATGGGGTTCTCTGCTCAGCAGGGAGCCTGCTTCTACCTCTCCCTCTGCTGCTCCCCCTGCTTGTGCTCTCTCTCTCTCTCTCTCAAATAAATAAAATCTTTAAAAAAAGTAATGTTAGCTATTATTCACAAATGAAAAAGTCTAGAAGGTTATATACCATATTTAATAGATGATTTAATAATATTTTTGTCTAATATTCCTGCAAGGATCCAACTATTTGTTGTGTGACTTTAAAAATTTATCACATGGGAAAAATATAAGAATATAAAAATCTTGTACATTTTTAAGTAACCAACTCAAATGCTACTCCCATAAAGTAGGCTCTCTCTTCATAGGTAGAAATAATCACTTGGGACGCCTGGGTGGCTCAGTCAGTTAAGCGTCTGCCTTGGGCTCAGGTCATGATCCCAGGGTCCTGGGGGGACCATGGGGCTCCCTGCTCAGCGGGGAGTCGGCTTCTCCCTCTCCTTCTGCCCCTCCCCCCCGCTCATGCTCTCTCTCTCCCTCTCTCTCTCAAATAAAATCTTAAAAAAGAAAATCACTTTTATCCAAATCTGCAAAGTACTCATTTTGTTCTCTTGTGGCACTTTCTACATCCAATTTCTGTTTTATTTATTTATTTTTTAAAGATTATTTATTTATTTATTTATTTATTTATTTATTAGAGAGTGAGCAGGAGAGAAACAGCATGAGAGGGGAGAGGGTCAGAGGGAGAAGCGATGCGGGACTAGATCCCAGGACCCCGGGATCATGACCTGAGCTGAAGGCAGTCGCTTAACCAACTGAGCCACCCAGGCGCCCCCAATTTCTGTTTTATATTGATGCATTCCTTCTCTCTCCTGCTAAATTATAAACTCCCTGAGCTCTGGAACTCACTCTTCTTTTTTTTTTTTTTTTTTTTAAAGATTTTATTTATTTGACAGTGAGAGATACAGTGAGAGAGGGAACACAAGCAGGGGGAGTGGGAGAGGAAGAAGCAGGCTCCCCAAGGAGCAGGGAGCCCAATGTGGGGCTCAATCCCAGGACCCCGGGATCATGACCTGAGCCGAAGGCAGGCGCTTAACGACTGAGCCACCCAGGCGCCCCTGGAACTCACTCTTCTTTATTCTGCATCCATCATAGAATGTCTCCCATGTAACAGATTCTCAAAAAATTGTTTGTTAAATGCAAATGAAGTATTTAAAAGAAACGGGTTTTTTTAACTACCAATCTTTTCAGTGGGTAAGATAGGTTACATTTGTGAAATCTTTTTTGTTTGTAGATTAGCAGCAAGGAAATTTGTAGGTGCAGCAAATTATCGGGAAAAGATTCATAGTACTTTGACACCATGTGGGACTTTTCTTTTTGCTGGAAGTGAAGATGGTATAGTATATGTTTGGAACCCAGAAACAGGTAAATATTTCATTGATCTTAAAAAATTGGGGGTGTTTGTTTTTATTTTTGAAGAAGTGTGGAAACTACCATTTTATGGAGTAATTTTCAAGAAAATTCTGATTTCAGGTTCTCAGTTATGTTTTTCCAAATGGGAGAACTGATAATGGGACTCAGCTGCAGTCTAAATTTATATTAAATTCTGTTTTTATTGTTTTGATATCTTCATGGATTTAGAATTTCACATTATAATTCAAGGTTTATTCTTTCCTTGCCTATAATAAGGTATTAGCAATCTTAAGAGAAGTATTTTTTATTGTGGTTGACATACAATATTAGTTTCAGGTGTACAACAAACATGATTCAACAGTTATATACATTTCAAAATGCTCACAATGATAAGTATAGTTACCATGTGTCACCATACAAAGTTATTACAGTATCATTGACTATATTCCCTATGCTCTATTAAGAGAAGTGCTTAATTAAGATTGTAATGCAAAATACAGAATATTTATAACCTGAATTTGGAATGTAAGTGGGTATACAAATGGCTAAATATCTATAATATATTTTTTATTAGAAATAGGGGCACCTGGGTGGCTCAGTCGGTTAAGCGGCTGCCTTCGGCTCAGGTCATGATCCCAGGGTCCTGGGATCGAGCCCCGCATTGGGCTCCCTGTTCAGCTGGGAGTCTGCTTCTCCCTCTCCCTCTCCCTCTGCCTGCCTCTCTGCCTACTTGTTCTGTCTCTCTATCTCTCTGTCAAATAAATAAATAAAATCTTAAAAAAAAAAAGAAATAAACATATTCCTGTCAAAGTTTTGGTATCTGAAACTTAATAGCAATATACCTGGGTCTCCTGACTGGCTCATTTGATAGAGCTTGCGACTTTGGATCATTGGGGTCATAAGGTCCAGCCCCACACTGGGTATAGAGATTACTTAAAAGTAAAATTCTTAAAAAAGAAAAGCAAAAGCAATTTACCTCAATTACTGTAATTCATGTTTTCCCAATACAATAAATCAGTACATTGGGAAGTTCATTTGTGCCTCACCTTTGCTTTCCAAAAGAAAAGCTAAAACCACATAAACATTTTTTTAGCAATAAATTGAGAATTTTATAAAATATAAAGTATCTCTAATCAGTAGTATTTGGTTCACTGTGTTTATTCTCTTGATTTTTTTCCCCTAAGTTTTTATTTAAATTCCAGTTAACGTACAGTGTAATACTAGTTTCAGGTGTAGAATTTAGCAGTCTATCACTTTACATATACAACACCTGGTGCTCATCACAGCACGTGCTCTCCTTAATTGCACATTCTCTCCATCTTTAAATGTTTTTGACTAGTTGGTTCACTTAGGGTTTTTTTTTTCTTACTGTGTTTTGATACTTTAGCATCAGTTTCGAAGTGTTAAATCTCTTTTCTCCTTCAATAAATTGATCTTGGTTCTTTGATTTTTGAGTTCCGGTTTTCATAGGTTCCTTAGACCTCTGCTGTAAGGCCTCTTTTAGCCATTAATAATCACATGTATCTTTAAAGCAGGTGGTATCTCAGTCTCTGGAAAAAAAATATAAAAATAAATTCCCCACCAAACCTCCTTTAACCAGTGTCTTCAGTTTTAGAGCCTGCAGTTCCTCCCAGAGTTCTCCCTGAGTTCTTTGTTATTAGTTGGCATTTGCTCAGCTGTCAGATCTCAGAGTCAGGTACTTCTCTCCTGCCAAGCTCCTTTTTTTTTTTTTTTGTTGCCTTGAAAACTTCAGTGAAGAGGTTGGGATGAGAAGTAGAAAGAGGAGGTCCAACAGGATGCAAAATAATTATTTAATATAAGAGTTACTCAACTATTTTTAAGTAATCAATGTTTTCATGTAAATTATGTGAGCTTTGTTATTACTATAACTGTTTTTAGTAAGTTAAAGAATAATCTTCTAATGAGAGATATTTGAGACAGTACAAATTATTGCATGTCTTTTCTTATTTAGGAGAACAAGTAGCAGTGTATTCTGACCTGCCATTCAAATCACCCATTCGAGACATTTCTTATCACCCACTTGAAAATATGGTTGCATTTTGTGCATTTGGGCAGAATGAGCCAATACTTCTTTATATTTATGATTTCCATGGTAAGTTCACTGCTGATAAGAAAAGAATATTTTAAGTAACCTTTACTTTTAGACTAAACCAGGAATCATGAGCTTTGTGAAAACTATCAACCTTTGTATTAATAAAGCTCTCTTGAATATATTTTAAGAAACAAATTAAATAGATTATATTATGTTATAACATTTTACTTTTCCATAAGCACTATTATTATGGAGTTTAAATATCAGCAAAGTTACACATAAATGGTTGTGCCCTTTTGTTGGAATCACAGGAAGGTAATCATCACTTTCTTTCTAAATTTTAAAAAAATTCACCTAAAAATTATTTGGGAATGTGTTAACTAAATTTAAAAGGTAAACAACATTTAGGAAGTAGGGATCTTTAATGTTTTCTGTTGAATATTTAGTTTCTTATTCCATGTTTTTGTTTTTCACTAAAGTACATAGTTGTAATAAGCTATAGTTTTAAGAATTTTTTAGCCTAAAAGGAAGGTAAAAACATCCAATGTCAGTGAAAATAAGATCTGGAATTAGAAATTTAAAGTCTTTTTCTGCTCTAAAATTACACTATTCTCTCTTTCTGAGAAAAAATAAGGAAATAAAGACTGGACACAATTTTTTCAGGAATAAGATGGTATTCTTAGAATTATTTGGATTTATGCTATTTTTAAACATTTCTTTAATTACTTAATTTCTGTCCTGAAATCAGGATTTCATTGTTCTGCACTGTATGTACTCATGGTGCTGTCACTCCCAAAACTGCAGTTCCTTTTCTTCACATATTAAGTCTTGTTCAAAAATAAATGGTCATCATTAGTCTCTGATTTGTTTAGGATGTCATGTATCATCATTCAGTGTTTTTGCTAAGCTAGGATGGCTTACATACAAATTCTTAAATGCCCAAATATACAAATACATATATATATATGTATATATACACACACACACACATACATATGTAGGTAACATTAACGTGGGATTATTTGGCAGAGAGTCTTAAATTTAAATGAAATGTGAGTGGTTATTGTGTTAATACAAATATTGGTTAGCAGTTAATTGGTTATTGGTCAGTGGTTGTGAGAAGTGCTAAATTATTAGACAGTTAAGTTCTTTTTTTTTAATTTTTAAAATTTTATTATGTTATGTTAGTCACCATACAGTACATCATTAGTTTTTGATGTGGTGATCCACGATCCATTGTTTTCATATAACACCCAGTGCTCCATGCAGTACGTGCCCTCCTTAATACCCATCACTGGGCTAACCAATCCCCCCTCCCCTCTAAAACCCTGTTTGTTTCTCAGAGTCCATAGTCTCTCATGGTTCATCTCTCCCTCTGATTTCCTCCCTTCATTTTTCCCTTCCTTCTCCTATTGTCCTCCATGCTATTCCTTATGCACCCCAATGTTCATAGCAGCAATGTCCGCAATAGCCAAACTATGGAAGGAGCCAAGATGCCCTTCAAAAGATGAATGGATAAAGATGTGGTCCATATATACAATGGAATATTACTCAGCCATCAGAAAGGATGAATACTCAATTTTTACATCAACATGGATGGGACTGGAGGAGATTACGCTAAGTGAAATAAGTCAAGCAGAGAAAGTCAATTATCATATGGTTTCACTTATCTGTGGAACATTAGACAGTTAAGTTCTAAACCTGAAATTGTTGATCATTGTATGGATTATATGATGCTCTTCCAGGCAAATTATATTAGAAAAAAAATATGTAAAATTGAGATTTATTTTGAAAAATTTTACCGAGAAGAAATACCAAATTTCTCTAACACATATTCAAACCTGGTGTCTAGTTCAAACATGTGTCCTGAAACAGGCCGTCCTTTGTGTGCACTCTCACTGTTTACATGACAGGGAGTCACACCTAGGCGCTGCATCCGCATCACTGGGCCTGGTGTACGGAAGGAGGCAGCTCGGCTATTTCCTCAGAACCTTTAGAGCTTTCACAACAGTCTCCATTCAATTCCTAATGTGCTTTGTAGGCTTTTGAAATGGTCACTGCAAAGGCAAGTGGAAGTTCCACTCTTTATCTTTCTTTCTGCAGTATTTTTTCTGTCATTGATCAAGGCTTTCCATCATTAGTTAGCCCAGTTGGGTTTGCCAATTTGGTTTTTAGACAGTAGGCATTTAGACCAAGAAGTCCATTCGAGAAGCGTAAGCAGAAAAAGCAAAGCATTTTTAGGAGTTCAAAAGCAGAGGTTTTAGGTTCAATTCTGTTTCTGTAGTGACCTTGTGCAAGCCTCTTGCCTTCCTGAAGCTCCCATTTCCTCATCTGGTAAGTGGCATGGCTACTCTCCACACCTGTGCTGCCTCAGGGGGCCATTTTTGAGGTTACAGTGAGGCGGGGACTGTGAAAGTACTTTGTAAATTGATAAGGACAATAATAAAACAAGGAAAAAGGTAAAATTGGTGGTTATCATGCTCATTTAACCCGTATATACCTGACTTTATGGGAACTGGGGTTTTAATATGCTGATAAGCCCCTCTATGTGAAAGGGGATTGAAAAAAGGTTTTTTTCCCCCCTCTTTATTCATTCTGTTGGCAGCCTTTTTTTTTTTTTTTTTTTTTTTTAATTAGAATGTGTACCTTTCTGGGTCAGTTGTATTAGAAAATAAGTGCATGAAGTTAAGGACATTATATCTGTACTGTATTAATGTAGAAAAGGATGGAATTCAAAGTGTTTCAGAAATTAAAATGTTCAAATAATACACATGAAATTAAAATTATTTTGTGCCATGATTTTAGAACACAATTTTCAGTATACTAACACCTTTACAAACAGAACTCAAAATGTTTCCACACATTTTCCTAACTCTTTGCTGCCTATTTTTAAAATGAGGAAGCTTAGGAAGAAGTTACATAATCCCAAGCAATCCAAAATTTAGCACAGTTCTTGTGTATGGTATATAGTCATAAGAAAACAAAAAGTTGTTTTAGACTCTGAAGTATTTTACTCATTAAATGCAAGCCATAATCATCAAGTCAATAGTATTTAGATTTTTCATTAAAACTTACAATATTTATGATTAACTTGTTAGAGGTTTGCCTTATATCTTACTTATTTTTAATGCAGGAATATTTTGCCCACACTTTCTTGGCTTGAAAATAAAGTTTACATGTTATCTTTACATAAGTGTTTTTAGTGGTATAAAATTTGAAAGATGTAGAACAGTTACATGATTTTTAAATAGTATTTATCAGAGCTGCTCATACATTTAGGTATTTTTCAAGGAAAATGGAGCAAACTCTTTTTTTTTTTTTTTTGTAAGTTAAATAAGCTGCGAATGAGACCACAATGGTAGCTAAATGTATCATCTATCTTTCAGTTCTAGCAAAATCTGTGAAGAGTCAGCAAGCATCTTTCTCTGTTAAGCATATGTTCAGGTTGTGGTCTTTTGGGTCTTTCATTCTACTGACTTTTTGCTTTTTTTGGTAAGAAATACAATTTTTACTTTCAGAAGGCAGTTTTATTTGCCTGATGTTGAAAGGGTTAATCATCTAGTAATACAAAATTTAGTCACAGAGTACCACAAATAATGTACTTTTAGGATTCCCATAATAACAGAGTGCTAGTCAGAAGAAACGGCTTCTGCTGAATTAAATTTATGAAGCTAGACTTTAGCAGTTAATGTTCTGTTATTAATATTTGTCTACCTCCATCTCTAGGATCCTGTTCTAAATGTAGTGATAATCATAACTAATACTTTCAAAGCACTTTCTTTGTTTCTGCTACTGTTTTAAGCACTTTACATTTTTACATATCATTTTTCACAATAATCTTAAGAGTTAGGTCCTATAATTATCCTCATTTTACATGAGCCAGAACTTGGATCCATACAGTCTGGACTTGGAGACCGTGCTCTTACTTGCTACATTAACCTGCCTTTTTAGCAAATTTCCTGAAATACTAGCTTTTGATTGTCTAATAAGCAAGGCTTTTTCTTTTTTTTCTGCAATACCATTTATCTTATGCCACTCTGTGGAGTATGTGATTTCTTTGTATTATCTGTACTTTGAAGGCAGTAGAGATGGAGGCTTATTCATCTTTTTATTACCAATACTTAGCCTGAATACTGACAAACAGTGAATATACATGTAGTATTTTAAGTAGGATCAAGTGTTAATTTGGGAAGTTCTCAGCATTGATAATCCCAGGTGATGAGCCTAATTTTCCACTAGGTGGCAGTCTCTTCTCTGAATCAGTGTTAACTCTGGAGTACTTTGTCATAGTATTTTAGGCAAGACAAATCTTTATTGAGCATCTACTGTGTGCCAAGTTGAGCAGGGCTGTAAAATCCAGGAATCAGACCCAGATTACCATGCTCTTTTCCAGTCTTTTGTGCTTCCCAAGTAGTTGATTAAACCTCTGGAAGAATTTTAGTTACACTGAACGGCAATCTCAACCATTGGTACTAAATGTGATTTTATTTAAAGAATTCATATTCATTAAGAACCACCTACATTGTTGTTGTTGATAGCTTTATTTTTCACACTGTGACATACTGTATCAGAGTTCAAGGTAATGAATACCTTTATATTCCTATAAAAATTTTGTTATATAACTTGCTCATTGACCAAAAGTCCATGGTGTTTGCAATTCCTTGTCTAACATAGTACCTGGTATATTACTGATGTGCAATAAGTGTTTAAAATAAGAATTATAAATCCTATAGATAGCATTTTCCCCTTAAATTTTATAAAAATATAGGATGAAAGCCATGATCAGTGAGTAAATTGGGGGCTAATAATAATAGTGGTAGTAGTAGCTAACATTTATCAAATATTTACTGTGTGTCCTCTGCTCTTATGAGCATTTTACGTACATGCTTCCATACAGTCCTTTCAAAACCCCACAAGGTAGATGCTATTATTATCTTCATTTTGCAGATGATGAAATTGAGGCACAGGGAGAATGAAGTAATTTTCATAAGGTCACACATTTACCCAGCTGTCTGAGTCTAGAGCCCATACTCTTAAAACACTAAGGCTACTTATTTAGT